ACTATTTATTCACTTTTCGATGTTTCCGGATGTTTGTTATCTTTGGAACTAAAAATATATTGTTATCGCCGTGTGAGTCACCCGAGAACTATTCTAAAAACATAACACACTTTCTGTCTTACATTTTTGATGAAATTATGTTACCTATATAACGTTTTAATGATTTTCACACGCACATGATTTAGGTACACGTTAACAGCACGTTTAGTCCACAGATGGACACAGGCCTTTTCATGAGTGCACCCATGAGCATACCTTAGATTTTCCAACCCTCACCACGCTGGGCAGACGTTATGTACATTTTACAGTACGCGAGTAACCCGGATTCGAACCCCGTCAACAACAATAAAATTGTTAAACTTTTCGACGACACGAACATGATGTATAGAAGTTTAACTTTTTCGTGCCCTCAGTGACAAGACTTCATAAGAAATCACATATAGTATTGCATTATGTAGGATCATCATTCATCATCATTACAGCCCTTCACAAGTCCACTGCTGAACATAGGCCTCCCCCAACGAATGCCACAAAGCACGGTCCTGAGCCACCTGCATCCATCGACTTCCTGCATGTCTTACCAGGTCGTCACTCCATCTCGTGGGGGACGCCCTACACTTCGCCTACCGGTACGAGGCTGCCACTCGAGAACCTTTCTTCCCATCGCTTGTCGGTTCTTCGAGCTATATGGCCGGCCCACTGCCACTTCAGCTTACTAATCCGTTGGGCTATGTCGGTTACTCTGGTTCTACTGCGGATATCCTCATTCCTAAGTTTATCACGCAGAGAAACTCCGAGCATAGCCCTCTCCATAGCTCGCTGAGCGACCTTGAGCTTCCTCATACGGCCAGCAGTGAAGGACCACGTCTCAGTTCCGTAAGTCATCACTGGCAACACGCACTGGTTGTACAATTTCGTTTTCAGGTTTTGAGGTATAGTGGCCGTGTAGTGGCGGTCAAGAATATCCACTACCCCATATCCTCCCGTGGGTGTCGTAAAAGGCGACAAAGGGAAACAGGCAGGAGATGGGCAGCAGCATCTTCCTGATAATAGCCAAAATTACAATAAAAAAACTGCGGTTGCCAACCCGCTCGCCAAGCGTGGCAACTATGGCAAATACCCCCCTATGAATGTAACAAAGAGACGGCCCCCAGTCCCCGGCGGCCCCGCTATTCCTGGCTACGGTGGCGACCATGGTAACGGCGGGGCGGGGGGTGCTAAGAATCTCCGGTGGAGGTTCGGTTGCCACCTTATGTAGGATGTAGGTACCTAATAAAATACAGTCGGCTAGCTACTTTAATCGGAATTACCGTATTTCTCACTTATCCATCTTTGAAAAGTATCACTTCTGTGCTCCGAGCGTCACTTCAATAGAAATTAAATTGTGACGTCATAAGCGTACGGATGTCAAGCTGTCAAGGTCACGATGACATAATGCAGCCTTAGAGTATTTATAAGCATCTAAAAATCTATTCAATAGAGTGCAGCACTGTAAATGGGTAAGTGCGTACGTATTGTTCCCTTTTATTAAATAAACAAAATGAGAGATAGCGAATCGGGTACAGAAGACTTACGAAATTTGCAAGGTGGAGGACAGTGAGTTAGAAGAGACTTGTCATTGTCATTCATAGTCTTTGTTGTGTTAGAAACAGTTTGCAAATTTGAATTTTCGTTTTAGCCGACTTCGAAAACAGTAGGAAGTTCGACTGTTGTTTAGTATGTATATTTCGCGATATTCCTTATTGAACTTGCGGTATTCCTTAGTTTACACAAAATTGAAAGAATAAAAAAAATCGCACTAGTAGCTTCTGAAGTCGGCGCTAGGAGCTAGTAAGTAAGTACGAAAGAAAGATCCTCCCTGCCTATCCCGCAAATGAAAAAGTAAAGGTTAGTAATGCATATAAGTAGTTTTTTCTTTTCATAAAATGTTTATTTTTTAGTTTACAATAACATTACAAAGTTATATGACGTACTTAATATTTCAAACGATATTGACTTTACATACCGATTACTTGTGTCTTCGAGAAACACTTGAATATTTTCCAAAAAAGAAGGATATGGTCACGGGGAACCATGGGTGCTGTAAAGTACCCGAAACGTCGGGAATCAATAAAAACAAGATAATTAAACGCGATAAAATCCGTAAAAGTAGTTTTATTCAATGTGTAATTAAATTGGTTATATTATGTCAACAATGTTAAGTCTTTTTGTAATTGAGTGTCGTATAAATATTAATGTCAATATTTATACACACTGGCAGATAGCTGATGTTAAAGGAGTAACTTGGGCTGCTTTTATTTTAGGGTTTCGCGAAAAATAACTCCACGCGGGCGAAGTCGCGGGGAACAGCTAGTTATCAATATTTGTAACGCAAAATTCCAATTTAATTTAGGTTTAACGTTATTGTATGGATTTTGTACGGTCATCAAATGGTCACCAAAGCCTCAGAACAGAGAAGCTATCTAACAGCCAGTGTTCGCTTTAACCCATTAACGCATTAACGACTTTAATTAAATTATAATTAAACTTTATTTTTACTTTTTACAATCAGTCAGTAAATTCGAGAACTGATCGATGATAAGAGGCGAAATAAACCAGAAATGAAACAAAAATAGAATTCACATATCTTTTTATTTATCTAAGGTACTGATGGCCAACGTTCGTAACGAATACACAAATTTTTCAATATCACTTACACGATAACATATTGTACGTTCTAATATGTACACTGTAGAGATGACATGAGTGCAAATTAATTTGTGTTTTGATACCTTTCATAATAATTCCTATTCAGTGTTCACATACAAATAATTTCCATTAAATCCCATCCGTTTATCACTACACACTCACAATTTAAAATGTCTATACAACATTAAATTCTTGCAATGGAGATGAATATTTACAATATAAATTGTCCTATGACTATTTTGTTACTATGGAATCTTATGACTATACTTTTTGTATAGTATAATAATATCTAAAATAAAAAAAAGATTTTTAACTTTAAAAGACTTAATAATAACAAGATATTTATTAAAACATAAAATACTGTGATCACAATTGATAAATTAATTAATTATTTAATATAATTGGAATTCAATCATCAAAAGATTCAAAACATAAATGTTATAAATGTATTGTAATAAAAAGACGAATGCTACCTACATTCACTTAGAAAATAAAAATAAAACTTAATTTAGGAAATCTTAATTACATATTAAAGCTTCTTTGATTTAAGAACTTAAAACGAGTTTAAGTAGGAATGCAATGAATTCTTAATTTAGAAATACATAGCAGCAAAGGTATATTTACATTATGCCTTCAAAGATATAAAACGTGAAGTATCATTAATAATGGCACTAAAGCTTTTTGATTGACACGAAAGATAAAAGGACACAACAATCCGCCCCCTTAATCCTTTTAGACATTTTTATTTAAAATACCGTAAATAATCTATTTAAAAATCTGTTTTAATTTTGAAAAACATTCAAGTATAAATGTTACCCGACTAAAAAACCTTTTTTTTTAAATCACATATAAGTTACATTGTTCCATAAAACGAATTTCTTAATTAGCTTATTCTTGTCCAATGTACTTATAGTGCCACAAATTGCTCATGAAATAACTAATTTCTTATATTTTATTTTTTTATTCAGCACATGTCTTATATATAGATTTATAAATCTAACGTTATTTTTATAATTATTGAAAGCACTATAAATATTGTTATCTTAGAATATGCTGTTCGGTACAGTGTGATCAATAGTTTAAAATATGCATTTTCTTGTATACACCAATTAGGTGTTTTTTTTTTAAATAATCTGTGTATTTGTTATGTTAAGGTACAAATTACTCGCGGATATTGATAAAATTATACAAAAATAAAAGAAATGTCACGTGTCTTCCGTAGTAGGGGGTTGTTGAAGCTATGGCGTAGCTTTTTTTACTATCAAAAAGTGCTTTGTAAAGGCAAATTTTAATATTTTAAAATTTTTTTGTCTATAATTTTGAAAATGTATGTAAGCTTTGAAAGCTTATGTATAACTACATCACTAGTTATGGAAAGAAACACTAACTCTGGCCAAGGCTAAAGTAAAGTGTCAACCTACATATCAATACATACTACTCTACCAATATTATTAACAGAATACACATTCGTAGGTATAAAACATGAATAAGAGAACTCCGCTAAAATATTTCCACCACTACATCGTTATTATAACCTTTTGCTAAAGTGTGATCTAAGATCTTTTCATATATCAATAAATTGTCGGGTTAACAAATATTCTATTTGTTTCTAACCGTTTTATAGGACGGATTGCATAATTTAGTAGCAATTTTTTTTTACTACTTTTTAATGCAAATATGTGGCATTTAAAAAAAACGAGCGCTATTTTTGTTTACACATTTACCTTTAGCTAAAATAATCACACAGTTATAAAAGAAAAACAATAATAATAATGCTTAGTCTTAAGATTTTTTTTTAATTATTTAACTGTTCTTGTTTGATTCATTAAGAGTGCTCAATAGATATGACATACTCATTACAAATTTATTACAATACATAATATGTCTTTCTTTTTAATTTCATTTTAAGTCTTAAATAGAACCTCATCGGCTTTATAAAGTTGATTTAACACATACAAATTAAAACAATTTAAAGTAACTGGGAACAAAACGTGTTTTATTGTACTTACAACGAATCCAAATTTCCAGCACCAGCGGACGGATAGTTAATGGTATGGGTGAAATGTTCCCAGTGAATTCAGAGTAATTATTGAGGGTGATTTCGTATAATATGATAGCGATTACGTTTGTTTTTTGCATATTAACGTAATATCACTAGTGCAGATCAATTCCAGGCGTTCTTTATTAGGCCAGCATAAGAATACTGCAAACTTAGCTAATTAAAAGTTATGTGTAGGTCGCAGCTACAGAACTAACTAGCGGAGTGCTTCCGTGTTCCAGAGGTCCATGCCCCGTGTGGGTCTTGCTGCAGTTCAGTGATAGTGTGAAAGTTTTCCGGGTCTCCTGGGCGGCGCGCTCTCGTACTCGTAGTAGTTGGACTGCGGCCGCTGGCCTCCCTCCCTACAGGAGCGCTGCGAGTGATAGCCACCCGCTGCGCCCCGACGACTGTCAACATTAGCACATAACATACGTTTGAAAATTTAATATAAATATGGAAACATGTAAAATAACAGATATAGAATCGTATTAGTAACGACTATAAAATAACAGAAAAAAGAAACCAAGAAGTATCAAATAAACTATAATATATTTTTATAGTACATTAATTATACCTAGTCAGGTCATAAGTATTGTCACACAGTAAAAACTTTTCTTTTAGAATGCTGGCCACAAAAAAGTTTATTGAATTCGAATTTCGAATTGTTCATGAAAATAAAACTGTATACTTTTTAGAATTTTATTCATTTTTAAATATGGAGTGGACGCTTAAAGAAGACCGTGTTGCAGTTATTGCGGTTACGCGCCATTTCAAATTTTTGACATACTGAAAAATTTGAATATAACCAAAAGATTCGTTTATCATACCATCAAACAATACAATGAAGACTCTAGTGTAGATGACAGGTCAAGAAGTGGACGCCCTCGGTCTGTTAGGACTCCAGCAGTGATAAAAGCTGTGAAGGCGCGAATTCAAAGAAATCCCAAACGTAAGTAGAAACTGTTGGCCCTTCAGATGGGGTTAAGCAGAACCACGGTGAAAAGGGTGTTAAATGAAGACTTAGGGCTTCGGGCATATCGAGGAAAAACAGGACATCGTTTGAATGCTCGTCTAATGGACCTGAGACTGAAGAGATGCCGCGCTTTGTTGAAGCGGTAAAAAATTTTTACCGTAGAAGAGAGCTACAACAAACAAAATGATAAGGTGTACGCACACAGTAGTGAAGAAGCGAGCAACCGTATTCCGCGTGTCCAACGAGGTCATTTTCCATCCTCGCTTATGGTATGGTTGGGAGTTTCTTATTGGGGCTTAACAGAGGTACATTTTTGTGAGAAAGGTGTAAAAACTAATGCAGTTGTGTATCAAAATACAGTCCTGACGAACCTTGTGGAACCTGTTTCTCATACCATGTTCAATAACAGGCACTGGGTATTCCAACAAGATTCGGCGCCAGCTCATAGAGCGAAGAGCACACAAGACTGGCTGGCGGCGCGTGAAATCGACTTCATCCGGCACGAAGACTGGCCCTCCTCCAGTCCAGATTTGAATCCGTTAGATTACAAGATATGGCAACACTTGGAGGAAAAGGCATGCTCAAAGCCTCATCCCAATTTGGAGTCACTCAAGACATCCTTGATTAAGGCAGCCGCCGATATTGACATGGACCTCGTTCGTGCTGCGATAGACGACTGGCCGCGCAGATTGAAGGCCTGTATTCAAAATCACGGAGGTCATTTTGAATAAACTTTAGTGTCATAAGAATCTATGTTTTGTTAAGTTCATTTTGGTATATAAATGGTTACATAATGAATAAACTTGTTTCAATTATTTTATATTAAGCATGTGACAGAATTTATGTCCTGACTAGGTAGAAAGTACTTAAAACGTGTTTAATTTATTATAAACACGGTTATCACGCATTTTTATTCTAGTGTCATAAAAATCTTATAATAGCTTCGCTTTATTTAAAATATTTCCATGCAACAATATGCAATCAAAACTAAGGAGTAATTTTACACAGTGGCAAACATTAATAGACTTATCAAATTGTTTGTTCTGTTATTTGCATACCTGGAATTTTATGGGATGCACCATTGCTTTTTTTTTTATTAAAAAAAAGTATAAATACCTACAAAGTTTTACTATCCAATCAAATCTCAGTATCGATATTTAAGACTGTGTTAAGTATCACTAGCGATTTTATTAACAGGATATTTTTATGAAGTCTTTAATGAACTACGTACTAAGCTATTAATGACGCAGAGCAGGCAGTCAGGCTCGTTCTAGTGTCTCTATGTAATCAGATCAATTTTATTAGCGAGAAATAAAATGAGTAGGTGTATTTAATACGCCCACGTTAAAAATTAATGGATTTATTCGCACTTCATTATTTCTATCGCAGAGAGTAATGAACTTTACGAGATGTTTATTCACGATAATGGAATAATGGACTTAGACGTTATTTTAATATGATTTTCTACTTGAATGCCAAAAGCCTAAAACAATTATGTCATGAATGTTTAGTGTTTTTTGTCAAATAAGGAATATGGATATAGCACAACAATGGAATTGACGTTACGAAAATTACAAAACATAAATTCTTTATCGTTCATCATCATCATTATCATTACAGCCCTTCAAATTTTTATTTAGGGCATATCGAAATACATAATAACATAACATTTCGAGATTTTAATCCGTTTGTAATAGGATTTCTTCTCTATGGAATAAAACCAAAAATTACAGTGAAGAATAAAACAGAATATAATCTCAGAATATGTATTGCATATGCATTGATGTCATTTGGCAAAGAAAAGAAATGAAATAACTTGTTGCACTAGAAAGAAGGAAGCAAACAAGATAGTAAGGTATATAAGTACGTGACTGTTTTTATGATAACTTTAATTATCAAATTAAAATTGACATTACAAAGCACAAGCATCTTACCGACGTAACGATCAGAGGAGCAGAAAAAAACACAAATCGGTTAATTAAATAAATATTTAACGATGTACAGTCGACAGAATTTAATCATTACCTACTTTAAGCCTCATTTTGCATACATTCCACTTAAAAACTTGAAATATCAATTTAACTAATTATTTTTTACTTGTTTGGTGATAATCAATGTCTCGAATGATTCTCGACGTCGTCAAGTATTTTTCACGAATGTCACACAATATTACTTGGACATACTATATACATCTAGGTCACACATTTGATGGCATTGCTATTTACCTTGCCCACCTATACCATTTTTTTTTATTTTTTTCTTTGCCTTGCTTCGATCGTGTGGTGGGACGTATGAGAAATCATTAGATCGCGAGAAACTTATCTAGTTTACGCCAGACGTAAAATACCCGTTGACCAGCGTCAAGGTGCGAGACCTCTAGTACGGCAATTGCCAATCCACCTGCCAAGCGAGGCTGTACCAAAGGCAATTCTCTCTCTGCAAATGGCGAGGTCCCTTCCTGGCCAAGGGGCCTCGCCCTTTGAAATTTTAAAAGTTGATGTTGAATTTGCTTAAAATCGTGTAAGGATAAATAACAGACTACCAGGGACGTTACTTATTTAAAAAAAATCGTAAGTGCAAGTAAATTGGAAGTAAAGATAATTAGAATTTATTTAATGTGTAGGTAGCTCACAACTTTATTTTGTCGCCTGTACGTCTAACGCCGTTGGCGTTAAGTTTCTTTGAAAATTTGGCCATAATAGAGAAGTTAAAGGATTTCTCAACGTGATTACTCAATTAGCAATGATAATAAATACCTGTCACCGAGTTCACTGGTAAAGCGACTTCTGTGATTTTGAAGTTCATGACTATATTAAATTAATATAATTAATTAATTAGGCGTTCCAAATGGTGGTCACATATGAGAAAATCATTGTTTTATTTATTAAGTTCCATTTCATAAGGCCGTGTCGCAAAAGTCAACTGCGAGAAATGCTATAAAATCAAGTGGCCTCCCAGCCACCGGCAAATAGTGAAATAACTAAATGATTTAATAACTTGAATTCTTAAACTTTAGTTCCATGAAATTCTCTTTATTTTTGAGAGGTCTATTTCCAGCAATGATGACGTAATTTTCTTATTTGAAGAACAAACATATTTATTGCTATATTGTAAAAGTAAAGTTATTTGAATAATGGTATTTATTTGTATTCAGCACTCGTTAGGCTAAGCGTTTAATTGCGACGCTGCAGGGCCGCGGGTTCGAATCCCGAAGAACGAGTGTTTATATGGCCTAAAAATGTATGTTTCTCTATGTACTATTTATGTATAACCACCTGCACGATACAGAAGGAAAGTCTAGTGTAGAACGTTTAAAAAAATCTGTAATAAATCTTTTACGGTAAAGTCAATAAAGTAAAGGAAACCATACTAAATAAAATAAAAAGTTAAATATAAATGGCAATATATAGAACTACTTTGTACGTGTAGAGCCACGCTACAATTATATTATGGCTGCAGTGCGAATAAGCCAGCTCGACTGGGAGCAGAATAATACTGCTGTGCTTCGTGTGGTGAGTATCGAGGGAACGGGATCCTTTTTAGTGTTAACGAGGCATTCCATTTTAGAACTCAGGGGTGAAAACTTATCTGCATTTTGATTCTTAACCGAGGATAAATTAATGTAGTTGTACAGTGTCTACGGACCACAACATTCACTTACTATAAGGAAAACAATTCGAACATCTGTCACCTTTACATCCATTTAAAAAAAATGGAAAAAGAGCAGAAAAGCATTCTATTAACAAAGAAAATCACTTCTAGTCTTTTCGGCGAGAGCTAATATAGTATATTTCATTACGAGTGCGGAAAGCCTGTCATTGCAGAGTTCCGACAAATGTCTACCCGAGCCGAGGCGTAGCCGAAGGTGAGGGTTGACAGTCGGAACACCTATTTTTAATACAGTTGCGAAAAAATGAAGCAATTTAATAAAGAATTTTTTTTTTGGAAAATTGCGCCAACCGTAAAGGAATATAAGCAGAGATTTTTTTGTTTTCTTCACCTATTCTGGGTAGGCAAAGGGAACTATGCCCATACAGCCAAGTCTTCAGTAGAATTTTTTTATTGATATGAAATGAAAACGAAATTTAATGAGATGAAATCAAATGAAAAAAAATAAGAAAAAAAAATAAGAAAAAAAAAGAAACCTAACCTAACTCATTGAATCAAATCATTAAATCTGATATTGAAACAAATTAGTAGCTTCTTTTTAGAAATATTTGCATGAATCATAAAAACTTCTATGAATTTTTTTTAGTAAAAACTTTGTGGTTGGTTTTTTCTTTTTAATAGACATTATTTTGACATTTGGGAAATAGAACGCACGAGTTCGGAAAAGGTAAAGAAAAAGCACGAGTATGTAATAGCTCACATCCCGAACGCTATATGTCCCTGCAATATGCCACTTTTTGAGCAACTGTATTAAAAAAAAATATTTCAAGATATTTTGGGTATTAATTATGTATTATATATGTGATCACACAAATTTAACTTTTTAAAGGAATATTTATTTTGTTTTAAAAAATTGTATTATTTCATAGAATATACCCAAGACTTATATATAAAATATAGTCTAGTAGGATCGAAATAATATTATAGCTATCCAGCAATGCAAGCCGTTTTTGAATAATTTGGAAAGGTTTCACGAAATGTTTTTTGACATAGAAGCGAGTAACGCTGTAATGTTCATAATTATTCAAGTACGATATATATATAGCGATATAGCATATTCACCTCTCCTCTTCAGCCTTTGCTCTCTGTGCGTTCATCTGTAGCCTCATTTGCCCAATTTGCACCTCGCTCAGTTTCTCGCGCCGTGCGCTGCAAATAATAATTCGTGTTTAAGACTCACAAAAACTCTAATTCAAATTTACATTGATACACAATTAATTGATAAGTAAGTGAATAAGGAATATTTAAACGCTGAACGTAGCCCGACTTAACTATAACCATGGGCGTGTTGTAAGCACTCAAAATGCCAGGATTTAAAAAATTCACGAACAACCAAAGTTAGTCGTTCGAAACACACAATTTATTAATATGTAATATTTTAAATGTATATTTTAAAACATTCAGTAGTAGTAATGGATAAGGAAATTTATTATTTATTTACTATCAAATATACTTACTTAAAGTTTTGAATTTCTTCGTAATTTACATAAAGACCGGAAGGACCCCACGCCGAGTCTGCTGCCTGTAACAATATGGCTATAATATTTTATCATGCATTTACATTTGGCCTTTCCATTTCTACATTATCTTTTCTTTTGCATAATACTGAATCGAGTTACCCCGATAGCGAACTCCGCCATCGATTTATCAAAAATATAAATATTTATATATATGTTTGATTATTCATTTAGTTTGCATTACAGCCTATCCAAGTCCACAGCTGAACATAGACCTCTTCCATAAATCTCTGATCCTTGTATACAAATGGATTAAAGAGCAAATAATATCTACATAATAAACACAAAAAATATCGGGAAAAACACTGTGCGTAACTAAAATAAAAAATGTACGATCGACACAACTCTTTGCAGCTTCCTACTTATGACGCATCAATCTATTCTGAGAATTTCAAAGCATATTTCTTTGTACAACTAATGGATAATGTATTATATCACCGGATAGCTGTTTAAAATTAATGAAATTATAAAATCACGAACTAGTTCCCGGTTGCAATATTAAACCCTTCATTAAAATTCCCACTCCAATTTATAATATTGATAAAAAATTATCAAAAATAACATGCTTTTGTTTGTTAAAATTACACAAATAAAAAGAAAAAAAACCCAGATGATTTTGTTGGCAAACAATACATTCCAGTTGAGCCTTGCCCGGAAGGGCGGTAGTATTTTGTAACTACAATAAATAATAAAGATTATCACTCTTATATAACAAAGATTATTTATAGCCAAGCGATTTAGACAGTTATTAATATAGGTCAGTGTATTGTTTACTATATTCAATAAGTGATCTAACAAGGTAGGGAGTATCCCATGAAGCAAATATAAAGAGGAGACGGCATATTCAACTGTGCACTGTGATTCTAAGTAGGTCCTGACGTCATCATAGTGGGCGTGGCTTTAGTTAGTATACTGTCAGCACTCGTCCTGTGCGCTTATGTGTTGAAAATCGCAAATCGGTGTATTTTCGTAGTATTAAGAGGAAAAGGATGAAGTGTTGTATTTTATCGTGTAAAAATTACTCAGATAGATGCTCTGATGCTATGGATGGCATCACATTTCATTTGTAAGTAATTTTACACCTAATTTATTAAAATAGTTCTAGAAAAATCTCTTTCCGTCGGCTTTCAAATATCTATACATATAATAAAACTGTAAATAGCAGATGTCTGTACATTTTATATTTTTGTATTAAAAGTGATTGAGGGGTACTAAAAATAAGTAATTAAATACATTTCTACCATTTTTAGAATTTTCTGTCTGTCTGTCTGTCTGTTTGTTTGTTAACGTATCACGTATAAGGTACTAATTTATATCATAAGAATTGTTAAGGAAATTATAAAGTGTATCTTCGGGTTACATTTAGTCTTTATTTCATTAAAATCAGTTCATTCCATCAAAAGTTATGATAAATATTCTGAAGTATGGGTAGGGAAGTATAGGTACGAATTTGCTCAACGGTGGCTTTGTTTGAGTCATCAACAAGTGCATTTTAAACTAATATCATATAAATCATAGTTAAATTATGTAAAATAATGATATAATTATGTATATCTAAAACGCAGTAACCAAAAGTAATAAAGAACGTATTAAATATATTATACAAAAATATATTAACCTTATTAACTAAATCTGAAGCACAATAGTTAACCCATTTCTTCGATAGATGGTGGTGTTGTGAAAATGTAATGCAATTGCAAATGTGGTTTTTTCCTGTAGATGAGTTTTCATATTTACTGCTAATCTTTATTATATTACTCGCTGCCCTACTGCGTGTTGACAAACTCAATTTATTCTTTACCGCCGAGTACTCTATGTGGTAAATCAAATTTTAAAAGAGCTATTAACAATTGCGTTGGTTTTGGCGAGAGTCAAACTTTATTTTTTGCTTACTGTGCAGGCACTGATTTATAAGTTCTCTTACGTTTTATATAATGTATCAATCGCGTCAATTAATCTCTTTAATTTTTAGAATTGATGTTAGCAGCGCCATCTCTCTTTAAATATATACATATAATAAAAATGATGATAACATGTTGTGTCTCTTTCTGTACATTGTATATATATTTTGGTGGCTAAAATCATTATGGGGAACTGAAAATAATTAAATAAGAACATTTTATAATTTTTAGAATTGTCTGTCTGTCTATTTGTCTGTTATTATATGAACGCATCACGTCTAAAGTAAACATATTTTATTTTCAAAGAAATCGTTAAGAAAATCATAAAGCGTATCTTCCAGTTCATTTAATCTTTGTTTTATTAAAATTGGTTAATTCTATCGAAAGTTATGATTATTATTTTGAAATGTAGGTTCGAATTTGTTCAATGGCGCCATAAAATCTCAGAAATAGTATAAAAAGATTTGTGTGTAAATAAAACGTTCCATAATAATTAATATATTTATACTTAAAACACAAAAAGAGATTTAAAAAGGATGTCTTCTCACACAAAGGACGTAATAGATGGAGTTGTACAAATTACAAACTTTTCTGAATTGCTGTGTTGAGATTTTTCGCCGATGAATCGTATTGAGACTTACTGAAGAAATTTGTATCCATCGAAGCCATACAACGGAACCCGACCAAAAATAAAAATTTTGCAACGAAATGTCGTGATATTGTATTTATAATATACGCAAAATCAGTACTGCCATTTTAGCGCTTTGGGAACTAGATTTAGCACTTTTTTGGAATGTATAGCGCACATTTCGAAATTTTAGCACCTAGCGCTTAATCCAGCGCTTTTTGGTGTATTTAGCACACATTTCAATATTTTAGCGACTAGCGGGTTATTAACTCTTTTATAGCAGCAGTGTTAGTCCACATTACCGATAATAATAATAATGACCTTTATTATTTTTTCCCACAAATAGTACATTGCAGTTTATCTTTTTCAAACTTATTTTTTCCACAAAACAAAGAGCATGGGAGACGAGTCCAAACTAGGATACCCTGTGCTATGGATCTCCTGGCTTCCCCTTTAGGATTATCAACTTGATTTTTTTACCGACGACTATAAGCGGGGAAATCCCCTTTATTAAAGTTTTCGTTCATGGTTTTGGCAACGCATTTATTTTGCTTTATTCACTTTCAGTCAGTTGCTTAGAGCACAGCTAAGTTAAAAGTTACTTAGAAGTTATAACACAAAGAAACTGTGTAGCAACCACAATCAGATGCTGACATCTGAAACTAAGTTGCGAAATACATTACACTTTAAAACAATTAATGACATTTTTATTGTTCGTACATTACTAACTACTGTTGACAGCAATTGCCATAATTATAAGTCGATGTCCTGCGAAGTATTGATACATCAAAAAAATATTGCCAGAAAAAAAACTTAATGTTGTTTTCTTTATTATGATTATATAAAAAAACACAAACTTTGTTTGTAGTTAATTTAGCGCGAAATCTAGGGCTTTTTTAAAGCGCTGTTTTCATGAAATCTAGCGCTTTTTGTGTTGTCCTAGAGCTGAATGAGTTTTTTTTTATCTGGCAGCACTGCCCAAAAACCCTCTATTAAGAAGTAACTTTCCTTTCAGTTTTAAGCGCGTTCAGTTCCCAGTTACAGTGAGCGTGTGTTATGCGATGACCGTAAATAAAGCGCAAGGTCAAACTTTACGCGTTGTAGGAGTGTACCTCAGTACTGACTGTTTTGCACATGGCCAACTCTATGTTGCTTTTTCCCGCGTTAGTAGCCCCCGTAACCTTTTTGTGTACACCCCGGCTAAGCCTACTTCTAACGTCGTTTACACAGAAACTCTATCATAAACGACTTAGAACTTTGATGATAATGATTTATTTTGTTACCACTTATTGATACAATAATGAAATAAATCGTTTAATATTCTCTTACCTAAACGACAAATTCTTTATGTAAAACCTATATACGCGAGCTACGCCGCGGGCACAGCTAGTAATTAAATATATTCGACACTAGATGGCGACACTTTGTGTCATGTGAACTAAAAATATAAAGTTATAAAGGTACGTAGAGCTCAGTATTAATAAAATAATCATACAAAGGTGCTGAAATTTGTTTTGCATTCAGACATAAAGAAATTTTAATCGCCAAAATTTTATTTTATAGTTTATAATCATTTTGTGGACAGGCCGTATTCTATCGTCAAGTAAATCTCATAAAAATAACAAAAAGACAGGGCCGTAATTAGAATTCAATTATTTTACACAGTAATCTAACTTTCAATATTAAAATGAAGGAAATTGTACTAAGGCTGATTTTTCGAAATGTATAAGTTATATTTAAGTGACATTCTATATGCAAAGAAAATCTCTCTGAAAATAAATATTTTATGTAAGTACAATATTCAAAGTACTTTCCTTTCGCAGGACAACTATTATATCAATTGTAGTTCAGCTAATTAAAAAGCTCACCTAGATAATTTTATTTACTTAATGTTCTAGATTTCCATTCGAAAATAATCGTAAACAGCAATGGATCACAAAAATTAATAGAAAAGACTGGACTCCGACAAAATATACAAAGATTTGTTCTTGCCATTTCAATGCTGACGACTTCACAGTTACAAAAGGCTTTAAAAAATTAAAGAAGGGAACTTTACCTAGTATAAATCTGGATATATCGGTTCGTTTGGATACAGTTTGTATTTTACTAGTTTTAATTATTTGGATAGAATGAGTTGATTTCATATTGTTGTTTTATTCTCAATATTACAGCTTACAAGAAAATTACCAGAGCCCACAATATCATCACCTAGGCCTTTCTACAAGTGATTTAAATGAATTTTTGATACTTCATGATTCCCCTAGAAAGAAGAAGCTAAAGCAAGAAATAGAACAACTTCGATGGAAAGCGAAAAAAGATGGGCTAAAGATCAGAAGACTTCAAATGAAAGTTATACGTTTGAAAAAGAAGGTACTTATATAGTGGCACTACTTTCGCCTCGCGAACCACTTTAAGGTGTATTCTTTTCTAAATGAAATACGCTTCAAGTACTTTTCGCTTTTCTTTCAGGTTCAAATTTTAACTGCCTTAATTACAGAATTGGAAACCAAACATCTTATACAGGGAGAGGATTCCGAAATTTTATCTTCAATAAATGTAAAGTTGAAAGACTTGGTTGGGCGTCAGCTATCAAAAATTAAGAAAGTTAATTTGAAAAAGAAATATTCTCCAGCTCTCAGATCATTCGCTTTGACGCTTAATTATTTTTCGCCAAATGCGTACTCATACGTCAGAAAAACTTTCGATACATGCTTACCGCATCCGAGAACAATTCCTAAATGGTATGAAAGTGTCAATGGTGAAGCTGGATTTACAGCTGAAGCTTTTAACATATTAAAGCACAAAACCAACTCATCAGGCAAACGCGCTTTGTGCAGTCTTATGATGGATGACATGGCTATTAAGAAGCATGTTCAATGGGACGGAAATAAATATCATGGTTATGTTGATCTCGGGCTTAATGACGTGCAGAAGGATAACTCGGATCAGGCGTCTCAAGCTTTAGTTCTGTTGCTTGTATGTCACACAGAACGATGGAAATTACCTGTGGGTTTTTTTCTTATTCGTTCTATGACCGGAGAACAATGGGCCTCAATAGTTCAACAATGTCTCTACAAATGCCAAGAAAATGGTGTAGACGTTGTTTACTAACGATAGATGGTTGCGCTGCAAATATTGCTATGCTTAAAAAGTTAGGTTGTTCGTTAGAACCTCAGAAAATGAAATCTACTTTTAAACACCCTAGTACTAACTACGAAGTAGCAGTATTTCTCGACGCATGCCACATGCTAAAACTAGTGCGCAACGCCTTAGAAAATAAAAGGAGGTTTCTTGATTATCAGGGCAATTATATTGAATGGTCTTATCTTGTCAAGCTTAATAACCTACAAAAATCTGAAGGACTACATCTCGGAAACAAGTTAAGAGACAAGCATATACATTTTCAGCAACAAAAAATGAAAGTAAAATTAGCCAGTCAGCGTTTTAGTAATAGCGTAGCAGACGCACTCCAGGTTTGTGAAAAAAGTAACGTTGAATTCAAAAATGAGGCAGCAACAATTAATTTTATCCGCCTAGTTAACAATATCTTTGACATTCTCAACTCTAGAAACATGTGTCAGAATGAACATAAAAAACCCTTATTTGAAAAGAATATTATGAAAACAAAATATTATTTGAAATACGCTAAATATTACTTAATGTTTATAGTAGAGCTCCTGATGAAGATAAGCCTGTTATCGCTACAACCCGAAAAACTGGCTTTGTAGGTCTTTTAACATGTATCAATAGCACACTTTTCTTGTACGACCGCCTGATTAATAAAGAAAATATACTAAAATATCTTACTTTATACAAATTTTCGCAAGATCATTTAGAACTATTTTTTGGGGTAATAAGGGCGCATGGAAGGGCAAATAATAATCCAACCTCACGTCAGTTTAAAGCAGCTTACAAAAAAATTCTGATAAATACAGAACTGAAAGAAGGTTTCAGAGGAAATTGTATTCCTTTAGAGGATATTGCCATTTTGAATGAATCCTCCGTGAAAAAAATTAATATTACTTCAGAACGTTATCGGACTTTGAAAAATGACTTGAGTGAGGAATCATTAGATGGCATGGATATCGAACCTATGCCTGATGATTTGTTGTTAGAATTTGATGCGCAATTAAATACAATGATAGGTCATTATTTGCGCCGTCATTTTGTTGCATATATTTCTGGGTATGTAGTTAATTATTTACATTCCAAGATCAAATGTGAGAGCTGCCTTCGTGAATGCTGATGATTACGATGATGATGACCTTTTTTTGATAAAAACTAAAAATAAAGGTGGTCTTACTTTTCCTTCTAATGATGTCATAAATATATGCATACGAACCGAATGCAGCATCCGTTGTGTTAAATCACAGTCTTTGAACACTCCTAATTTCAGTAAACATAAAATTGTATCGAATACATTAAATTCTCTTATTGGACAAGATTATTTCAAACAATCGTTCAATCATATGTTTGACCAATCACCGACTGATAATCACGTTATACTTCTCATTAAATCTATAGTTGAAAAATATTAATTTAATTAATATATATAACTTAATATTCGTTTTAAGCATTTTGCAATCATAGAAAACGATAGGGCAACAAATCGACAGCAACTAACCAAAACAGTTATTTTTGCAGGTAATTGAATTTAGAATAGAATTTAGTACTGTATGTCGAGTGCGAGCGCTACAAAACAATTCAAATAAGTTTACGATAGCATTAATCGAGTATATTATGTTAATAACGGTGAAAAGTGAATAAGTGACAAGATAAGTTTTCGAACGAAATGGCATTTATTCACCGTGAGCGCGTCTATTTTTTGTTCTTAGATTGGCAATGAAAAAGTGCATTCGGATGCCTAATTTTGGACTTAAATATTTATATTTTAATTGATTTGGAAATAAAATTATATTAATTATAATAATTTATCTATTATTTGTTCTCCCTCAGAGATATTAAGTAGTATATCTCTGAGGGATACCCACACATAAATAATAGTCCAGCCGTTTCTGCGTGAAAAAATAACATATCAGTACATACTTAGAGTGGAATAAGGTCAAGGAGACAGAAAGAACACACAAACTTTCGCTTTTATAATATTAGTGAGATAAGTAGGATATTTAGTTCCAAATTAAATATCCTACTAAATATTGAACATAGAATATTTGGTTTCAAAGAGACTTCATTTTACTAAGGATAAAATAAATATTTCTTGAAGGTTGACTTTTACAAAATGCTAAACATATTTAAATTGTATTTCAGTGATTCTATGCATATATAATGTCACTTAAATATAACTTAAACATTTCGTAAAAATCAGCCTAAGTACAATTTCCTTCATTTTAATATTGAATGTTGGGTTACTGGGCAAAATAATTGAATTCTAATTACGGCCCTGTCATTTTGTTATTTTTTATGAGATTTACTTGACGATAGATGGCGACCTGTTCACAAAATTATTATGAAAACTATAAAAATAATATTTGGCGACTAAAATTTCTTTGTCTGAATGTATTTGCTTCATGAGACAGACGCTCTGATGCTTTGGATGGCATCGCATTTCATTTGTAAGTAATTTTAAACCTAATTTATTAAAATAGTTCTAGAAAAATCTCTTTCCGTCGGCTTTCAAATATAATTAAATACCTAGTCAGGTCATAAATTCTGTCACATGTTTAATATAAAATAATTGAAACAAGTTTATTCATTATGTAACCATTTATATACCAAAATGAACTTAAGAAAACATACGATTCTTATGACACTAAAGTTTATTCAAAATGACCTCCGTGATTTTGAATACAGGCCTTCAATCTGCGTGGCCAGTCGTCTATCGCAGCACGAGCGAGGTCCATGTCAATATCGGCGGCTGCCTTAATCAAGGATGTCTTGAGTGACTCCAAATTGGGATGAGGCTTTGAGCACGCCTTTTCCTTCAAGTGTTGCCATATCTTGTAATCTAACGGATTCAAATCTGGACTGGAGGAGGGCCAGTCTTCGTGCCGGATGAAGTCGATTTCACGCGCCGCCAGCCAGTCTTGTGTGCTCTTTGCTCTATGCTGGCGCCGAATCTTGTTGGAATACCCAGTGCCTATTATTGAACATGGTATGAGAAACAGGTTCCACAAGGTTCGCCAGGACTGTATTTTGATACACAACTACATTCGTTTTCACACCTTTCTCACAAAAATGTACCTCTGTTAAGCCCCAATAAGAAACTCCCAACCATACCATGAGCGAGGATGGAAAATGACCTCGTTGGACACGCGGAATACGGTTGCTCGCTTCTTCACTACCGTGTGCGTACACCTTATCATTTTGTTTGTTGTAGCTCTCTTCAACGGTAAAAATTTTTTCATCCGAAAAAATAATTTCCCGATATTTTTTTCCCGCGTACCGCTTCAACAAAGCGCGGCATCTATTCAGTCTCAGGTCCATTAGACGAGCATTCAAACGATGTCCTGTTTTTCTTCGATATGCCCGTAGCTCTAAGTCTTCATTTAACACCCTTTTCACCGTGGTTCTGCTTAACCCCATCTGAAGGGCCAACAGTTTCTTCTTACGTTTGGGATTTCTTTGAATTCCTTCACAGCTTTTATCACTGCTGGAGTCCTAACAGACCGAGGGCGACCACTTCTTGACCTGTCATCTACACTAGTCTTAATTGTATCGTTTGATGGTACGATAAACGAATCTTTTGGTTATATTCAAATTTTTCAGTATGTCAAAAATAACCGCAACGATGCAACGCAATAACTGAAACACGGTCTTCTTTAAGCGTCCACTCCATATTTAAAAATGAGTAAAATTCTAAAAAGTATAGTTTTATTTTCATGAACAATTCGAAATTCGAATTCAATAAACTTTTTGTTGCCAGCATTCTAAAAGAAAAGTTTTTACTGTGTGACAATACTTATGACATGACTAGGTATATTCGACATTAGATGGCGACACTTTGTGTCATGTAAACTAACTAACTATAACTACTAACTAATATATAGGAGTTACTGAGTAGAGCTCAGTATTGGTAAAATAATCATACGAAGTTGCTGAAATTTGTTTTGCATTCAGACAAAGAAATTTTAATCGCCAAAATATTATTTTTATAGTTTATAATCATCTTGTGAACATACCGCCATCTACCGTCTAGGTAGCTAAACTACATTGCAATATCGATATGGAACGATTCGAGTAGTTTTACTATTTATCGGTAGATGTAGATGGTATAACTTGGGCGGGGCTTTGCATCTCCTCACCCCGCAAATTGTCACGCGTTGTTACATAGTGAAATTTAATTAGAACGTCTCCTCTTTGTATTTGCTTCATGGAGTATCCCTCCTATGAGGCAATCCATGGGGAAGGCCTATGTTCAGCAGTGGACTTTGATAGGCTTTAACGGATCTAAAAAGTATGTAACAGTGGCGGCGACTTCTTAGATCAATATTACACCATAATATTATAAAGTGTGGTTTGTACATAATTTGTACGCACTGAAAGTGTTGAAGACATATCTGTGTATAGTAGTATGTACACGCTGAAAACGATTGGGTACATATGCGTATGGTGTTTAGGCATGTACGTACTGGAGGTGTCGGGTACGTACGCAGTGGAGGTGTCGGGTACGTACGCAGTGGAGGTGTCGGGTACGTACGCAGTGGAGGTGTCGGGTACGTACGCAGTGGAGATGTCGGGTACGTATGCAGTGGAGGTGTCGGGTACGTACGCAGTGGAGGTGTCGGGTACGTACGCAGTGGAGGTGTCGGGTACGTACGCAGTGGAGGTGTCGGGTACGTACGCAGTGGAGGTGTCGGGTACGTACGCAGTGGAGGTGTCGGGTACGTACACAGTGGAGGTGTCGGGTACGTACGCAGTGGAGGTGTCGGGTACGTACGCAGTGGAGGTGTCGGGTACGTATACAGTGGAGGTGTCGGGTACGTACGCAGTGGAGGTGTCGGGTACGTACGCAGTGGAGGTGTCGGGTACGTACGCAGTGGAGGTGTCGGGTACGTACGCAGTGGAGGTGTCGGGTACGTACGCAGTGGAGGTGTCGGGTACGTACGCAGTGGAGGTGTCGGGTACGTACGCAGTGGAGGTGTCGGGTACGTACGCAGTGGAGGTGTCGGGTACGTACGCAGTGGAGGTGTCGGGTACGTACGCAGTGGAGGTGTCGGGTACGTACGCAGTGGAGGTGTCGGGTACGTACGCAGTGGAGGTGTCGGGTACGTACGCAGTGGAGGTGTCGGGTACGTACGCAGTGGAGGTGTCGGGTACGTACGCAGTGGAGGTGTCGGGTACGTACGCAGTGGAGGTGTCGGGTACGTACGCAGTGGAGGTGTCGGGTACGTACGCAGTGGAGGTGTCGGGTACGTACGCAGTGGAGGTGTCGTGTACGTACGCAGTGGAGGTGTCGGGTACGTACGCAGTGGAGGTGTCGTGTACGTACGCAGTGGAGGTGTCGGGTACGTACGCAGTGGAGGTGTCGGGTACGTACGCAGTGGAGGTGTCGGGTACGTACGCAGTGGAGGTGTCGGGTACGTACGCAGTGGAGGTGTCGGGTACGTACGCAGTGGAGGTGTCGGGTACGTACGCAGTGGAGGTGTCGGGTACGTACGCAGTGGAGGTGTCGGGTACGTACGCAGTGGAGGTGTCGGGTACGTACGCAGTGGAGGTGTCGGGTACGTACGCAGTGGAGGTGTTGGGTACGTACGCAGTGGAGGTGTCGGGTACGTACGCAGTGGAGGTGTCGGGTACGTACGCAGTGGAGGTGTCGGGTACGTACGCAGTGGAGGTGTCGGGTACGTACGCAGTGGAGGTGTCGGGTACGTACGCAGTGGAGGTGTCGGGTACGTACGCAGTGGAGGTGTCGGGTACGTACGCAGTGGAGGTGTCGGGTACGTACGCAGTGGAGGTGTCGGGTACGTACGCAGTGGAGGTGTCGGGTACGTACGCAGTGGAGGTGTCGGGTACGTACGCAGTGGAGGTGTCGGGTACGTACGCAGTGGAGGTGTCGGGTACGTACGCAGTGGAGGTGTCGGGTACGTACGCAGTGGAGGTGTCGGGTACGTACACAGTGGAGGTGTCGGGTACGTACGCAGTGGAGGTGTCGGGTACGTACACAGTGGAGGTGTCGGGTACGTACGCAGTGGAGGTGTCGGGTACGTACGCAGTGGAGGTGTCGGGTACGTACGCAGTGGAGGTGTCGGGTACGTACACAGTGGAGGTGTCGGGTACGTACGCAGTGGAGGTGTCGGGTACGTACACAGTGGAGGTGTCGGGTACGTACGCAGTGGAGGTGTGGGGTACGTACGTGTGCGTGGTGCGCGGGCGCGGTGCGCGCGGGCGGGGCGCGGTAGGGCGGCGCGTGCGCTCGCTTGTCGGACCGCGAGCCGCGTTCACTGCTGCTCTGTCGCGACCGGCTGGACTCCTCTCTGTCCAACACATTAATTTCTTAACATTTTTCATAATAAGTGAGTGCCGCCAATTTTTATATAGTTAGTCGCAAACGAGCGTTTAACAGCTAATAACAACTTACTTCTTTAGTCCTAGAACACCTGCATCCAATTTTAAACGAAGATAAAGATATTCGTCACCACTGACGAAAATTAAATACCTTAAGTGATCTCTCAGGTCAAATAGTCAGTTCTTTTTTTTTTTTAATAGGATAAGGGTGACAAACGAGCACACAGTCCACCTGATGGTAAGTGGTTGCTGTGGCCCATAGACATCTACATTTATCCTCGATTACGAATCAAAATGCAGATGCGTTGTCACCCGTGAGGACTAAGATGGAATGCCTCGTTTCCAGTATAAAGGGTCTCCAGTTCTCTACTCACCATACGAAACACAGCAGCATTATGCTGCTATTTTACGCTGGTATTCTGTGAGAGCGTGGTCCTTCCCCGATCGAGCCGACCCATTCGTGTTACAACTATACCAGAAATATAGCTGCAGCATGGCTCTACCACGTATAAAACCATCTGTCAAAAACCATCAGAAATAAATACTTTATTTTAGTGAAAGTAACAATACACATATGTTGTATAAATAAGTACCTTTGGGGCGGCGGTGGGATAGAATCTTCTATCCTCTCGTCTATTCTGTTGTGCCTATCGAGTGCTTCTCTTGAAAGAGACTTTTCCGAAGATCGTCCAGGTTGCGATCTTCCGTACCCTTCATTTTCGTTTTTCTTGTGGGGTTTGCCAATTCTATTAACAATAAATATATGTATTCTTAGTAAATTAATAAAAATAATTCTTCAACTAATGAAAGCTTTTATGTACACAAACTTATGAACTTTTATTGCCTTATATATTGTGCAACTCCAGTCACATTACATGATGTAAGACAAATAATTGGAAAGTTATATTAATAATAGTAACTGATTAAATGTATGAGTGAAATATTTTTATCTCTTAGCATAGTATTCATATATTGAATTTGGTTTTGTATTTATATGGATGTACAGAAATACCTTAATATATTTACCTAAACATTGTTGATAATGATTTCAATAGTGATGGTTTTTTATGTGATAGAGACGATTGTTGCGGCGATCCTCTTATGATATGCTCAGGAGCGTTATTATCATCCGTTAACCAATGTTTTAGCGCTGAAAGATAAAAAATATTAGATTTGCATTCCGAATACTGAAAAAATCTAAATTCTTAACCATCGCACTCTAAATAAACGTTTCATTTAGTAGACTAACTCTTTGGAAATTAATCGTGAATTATTATTACTTAGTCAATAATGAAATATAAGTAATAAAAAGAGTATTAGTGAAGTCTTACGTGGATGTGCTCTAGCGTATAAGGGCTCATTGCGTGGATTCTTTTGAGTTTCTTGTATGGCTGTTTGTAGAGATTCCAAACTCGAAGATTTTCGCATCCCTAACGACGGTCCAACTTGCATAGCTAAAACAAAGAACATAATTTAAGTATCATATTTTATAAATAGAGACTAATTTTTTGTAAGGACCTACATATATGACGGATGTAAACTAAAATTCCTGGTTTATTTCAACTAAAGCGAAAATAAGTATACGATGTAACGCTTTTACAACCATATCGGAAATAGTGCGAGTTTTTTTTTTAAATTTATAACCACTGTGAAAAGTAGCGGTTCTTTCTTACGGCCTTCCTTCAACTTAGAGATTTGGTTACTAAATTAAAAAAGTTGGTGCGGCGACGCATGCCTTTTCATGACGACTAGTTTTGGAAATCGGACGATGAATGATGAATGAATGTGACGCGCATATTACTTTGTCTATTGTTCTTCTTTCTATCAGTCTGTAGAAGTCTATGGTCATAGTCATGGGCATCTCCTGTTAGAGAGGATTTGGTGTAGAAAATCGGAAACCCTTTTAACGGTTAACAAGGCTTTAAATTATAGTCCTTAGGTGTGACAGCGCGTCTGTATTTTGATTCTTTACCGAAGGTAGATGTAGAAGTCTATAGACTACAGATTTCACTTAGCGTCCGGTCAACTGTGTGCTCGTTTGTTACCCTTATTCTATAAATAAAATATAAATAATCGTATAACTCCGTTATCGCGACAGGTTCTATCCATGACAGAGATTTCTTCGAACTAGTATTAGAAGTAAATGATTAAAAATTAAACATTTTGTACAACAGACTTTATATAAATTATTAAGAATAACTCAAAAACTATTGGTCAGACCTTGATAAAATTTATATGGGACCAAATGAGAAGCACCAGCTTTCAAATAAAAATCATCGAAATCGGTTCACCCGGAAAAAAGTTATGAGGTAACACACATAAAAAAAACATATAGATGATCCTTTTTGAAGTCGGTAGAAAAAGTGACTCAACAAGTATTATTTTCGAATTAATTGTGAAAAAATAATTATTTTTTTATGTTTTGTATTGCATGAGACTTTGATATTTCCAAGTCTCGTGCAATGCAAATTAACACTTGGTGTATAAGATTCTCCTATATTGATATTTTCTGGTATTTATAGGCCCCACATAAGACTTTTCACAAAAACACATTAAAGGCGACTATTGGAAGACTGGGTTTGAAATTGTGGTAGGTGTTGGGCGACCTTCTTTTACAATTTTCCTCTGCTCGTGTTTTTGGCTCAACGTGGTCAGAGTAACTGATAGTGTCGTAAGAGGCAATAGATGGAAAGTGATACAAGAGATAGGCAGTAGTGTCTTCTTGATAATAACTTAATAATAAGGAATTTTTTTTTACGTGTAGAGCCACGCTGCAGCTAATATATGATGAGCCTTTCTACTGGAAATGAGGCATTCCATGTTAGTACTTAGGGTTGACAAGGCGTTTGCATTTTGATTCTTAATTGAAGATAAATATCATATGAACAATATCAAGTGAACTATATGCTAGTTTGTCACTCCATTCTATAAAAAGAAATCTGTGCCAGGCGTGGCAACTATTTGCCAAGTGGCCTATGAGGAGACATGTTTAGCTGTGGACTTTGGTGGCTGTTATGGGTGGACGGTCCGAGCAACTCGTTGGTCTTTGGAGTTTGCCTACAGGTTCGGGGAGTGCAGGCGTGAGGCGTGACGCTATGTGTGTGCGGTGCGTACCGCCGGCGGCCTTGGTCTCCTTGATCTTCTTGTAGGTGCCGGTCTGCTTGGCGTCGAGCGCGGCGTGCCGCTTCTCCGACATGGAGCGGCGCCCCACCGCGTCGCGGCTGAACCCCGCGCCGCCCGCGCCCCCCGCACCGCTCTCGCTGCCCGACTCGCCGCCCCTGCACACGTCGCACCCACATCAATAATCAACCTTCTACCTATTATTTATTTATATTCATTACTAATTTAAATGAAAACTACGTCACAAACTCAAATAGTATATTTCATTACGAGTGCGGAAAGCCTGTCATTGCAAAGAGTTCCGACAAATGTCTTTCCGAACCGAGCCGAGCCCAGCCGAAGGTGAGGGTTGACAGTCGGAACAAGTTGCAATAACGGTTCCGCACATGTACTGAACAACTATTTTTATAATACAGTTGCGAAAAAATGAAGCAATTTAATAAAGAACATTTTTGGAAAATGGCGCCAACCGTAAAAGAATATAAGCAGAGATATTTTTTGTTTTCTTCACCCATTCTGGGTAGGCAAAGGGAATTATGCCCATACAGCAAAGTCTTCAGTAGAATTTTTTTATTGGTATGAAATGAAAATTAAATTTAACGAGATGAAATGAAACCTAACCTAACTCATTGATTCCAATAATTAAATCTGATATTGAAACAAATTAGTAGCTTCTTTTTAGAAATATTTAAGAATCATAAAAACTTCTATGAATTTTTTTTAGTAAAAACTTCGTGGTTGGTTTTTTCTTTTTAATAGACATTATTTTGACAGTTGGCAAAGAGAACGCACGAGTTCGGAAAAGGTAAAGAAAAAGCACGAGTATGTAATAGCCCACATCCCGAACGCTATACATCCCGAACGCTATACATCCCTGCAATGCACCACTTTTTGAGCAACTGTAAAAAAAATATTTCAAGCTATTTTGGATGTTAATTATGTATTTGTTTCAATTCACTTCCATTCATTTGCAATTAAAAAATTTAAAAGTAGTTATAAACCCTGTATTTTTTTTTGCTTAATGTTTAACAACTTTTTAAGCAATTAATAAAAAAAGTTTTATTTCAATCTGTTTTAAAACCTGTTTTGAATACGTGTTTTAAAACAACTTGTTTTAATCATGCCAACCCTGTGTCTTTATTGCACAAATATATAACACATAACCCGCTTGCCAAGCGTGGCCACTATGGCAAAATCCCCTATGACGCTATCTATGAATCCTTTGTGAATGGGGTTTAAATCCATTACATATCATCTGCCATATTAAAAGTTTCTTAAAATAGGTAATTCATTATAAGAGTATTCTGCAGGAGGTAAATTTTGTAATCATTCAATTGAAGAAGATATATTTAAAGAAAATAAAATTAAACGTTGATTAATTATTGATTCTCAAATTATTATTATTATTATTGATAATAAAGAAATATATGAGCAAAATGAGGAAATAATATTTCATGAAGTAAAATTATCTGGATTATCAGAATATCGTCGAGGATGATATTACGATGATTTACAATGATTATACATGAATCTATGAATCTGTAATGAAAGGGTCGAAATTTTCTAAAATAAATATGATTTCCTCCTAGTACTCGTATAACATGGTTGGCAGCAGTAGTGCTCAATTAGTTAGTAATGCTCTTAGACTGAATGAAACATAGTTCTTCTATCTAATTAATTTTAACATTATGTTAAAATTTTACGCAAACTATCATTTAATTATTATAAATAATATTATAATTATTATAAATGGAATGTTTACACCACCCATATGTTATCCATGTGGTTTATGTGTGTTTGTATTCTTGGTGTTTATTGTCACGACAGAACATGGCGACGAGACAACTCCGAAGTTATTTCTATTTAGCAATTAATATTAGCCGTAGGACAAAATAAAAGTTATCTTGAACGAAGGTATTCGCGAAATGTGACTCCCTTGAGGAAAGCCGCCCGAAATGACTCGAAATCTCGACGCGGTGGTGGTGTTGTTAGAATTACTTTTATACGTTGTGGATTGAATGCAACCCACAACCTATAAAAATAATCTTTATGTGCATAACTACGTTTATAATAGAAATTGTTTAGTTATCTTACCTCGTCGTCCCATAGTCCTCTTCTATAATAACATTATGGTGGGCTGGTGGTGACCGCGCCATATGAACATGGCCTACGTTCTGCCGAAAATGATGACCATTTGGCACGGCTCCGTCCATTTGCGTCGCCATGTAGTAACTCTCGTTCCTAAGTCCCGTCAGTCTGTCTATTACTGGGTTCCATCCATCCAATCGACTCCATTCGAAGCTGTCTCTCTTAGTATCATGGGGTACACTATCTTTGTCTCTTTCTAAATATCCTTTACTGTCGTCCGATTGGTTAGATACCCAACTGTTATTATTGTTTATAGTTACGATGGATGCGTGCTTCTTACTACTTCTTCCATTGTGGTTGTCGATGCCTACTTCTTTTTGGTTAACTTCAAACTTCTGTGTGTAATCTGGCTTATTTTCTTTATCGACTGCATTGTATATGATCGTATTAAAGTTCTGCGAGTTGCTGTTATCATTTGAATTGGTCGTATCGTTGCCGTTGGGCGGAGTTTCGTCCTTCCACCTGGCGAGACTGTCCATGCTGTCTGTAAAACCATAATTCTTTTTTTATATTTTTTTAGAGTTATTAAACACATTTAATTTTTTTTATTCAAGAAGGCTATATATGCGTAATAATCCTTGAATACTTAAATAGAATGCATTCTAGCCTACAATTGGGTAGTAGTCGATATTGTCGTAATTAAATTAAAGCAAATAATTTAAATTGGGTAGTTGATACCACCATTAATAAATAACTACATCAGCTCGCTCAAAAGCTTGGCACGATACCGCTGGATCTAAGATTGTATGATAATTAGCGTTTTCTACCGACTTTAAAAAGGAGACGGTACTCAATTCGACTGTTTTTTTAAATGTGATTGATGAATATTTTTTTATTTGAAAGCTGGTGGTGCTTCTTTTGTGTTCCCATATACATTTGATTAAGATCTGACAAATAGTTTTTAAATTATTCTTAATAATTTATATTGAAGTCGGTTGCACAAAATTTTTAATTTTTAATTATTAGTTTTAGTTTTCAGGGTTCCGTACCCGAAAGGTAACCAACGGGACTCTATTGCTAAGCCTCTGCTGCCGTCCATCCGTCTGTTTGTCTGTCAGCGGGCTGTATCTTATGATCCGTAATAGGTAGACAGTTGAAATTTTCACAGAATGTGTATTTCTATTGCCGCTATAAATACAAATAATAAAAATAAATTGAAAATTAAAGGAGGCTCCCCTACTAGAAACGTGTATATGGTACGGAACCCTGCGCGAGTTCAACTCGCTCTTGGTCAGTTATTTTATTATAGTTTTTTTTTTATTATAGGTGTAGCAGACAGCGAGGAGGCCGCCGCCCCGTCGCCCCTTCACACCCCGGTGCACCCCGCGCACCCCGCACACCGGCAGCAGATCACGCGATGTCGCCGACCAATGAGCGCGCGGCATCGCGGACGACGCTACGCACGACCCGAGACGCTCTCCGGCGAGATATAAGAAGGGCGTCTCGGACGGTGAGCTGTTCATTTCGGAAGCGGCACTCGACGAGAAGAAGACAGCAAGAGAAATCAAGAAAATCAAGACTCAAGAAGACTCCATCAAGAAGACTCCCCTCTGTATAATAGTTTAATTAATAGTACCACATTTTGTAAATAGTTAGAATACAGTATAGTTCGATAGTACCATCTTTTCTTTGAGCAGTTGCCCCCTAGCGTAATATTTTTGATTCTTAACCGAAGTTAGATATAAATGTCTATGAGTCACAGCATCCATTTACTATAGGTGGACTGTATGTTTTTTATAGAATAAGTGTGACAAACGAGCACACAATCCACGTGATGGTAGGTGGATTTTGTGACTAAGATAGAATGCCTCGTTTCCAGTAAAAAGGGCCTCTAAGTCTCTACACTCACTATACGATACACAGCAGCATTGAGCTGCTATTTTAAGCTGGTATTATGTGAAAGCGTGGTCCCTCCCCGGTCGAACCGAGCCATTCGTGCTACAACCATAACATATCTGCAGAGTGGCTCTACCACGTATAGTTTGTAAGCCCTCGTGTTTGTTTTAGTGTGACTCGGTGTGGCGTGTCTATGTGGCATGTGTGCGTGCGGCGTGCGGTGCGCGCGTACCGGTGCGGCGCGCGACGGTGAGCGAGATGCTGCCGCTGCGGTTGGGGCGCGCGTGCAGCAGCGCGCGCCGCAGCGTGTCCATGGCCTGCGCGTTGCTCTGCCCCACCAGCGACACGCCGTTCACGCTCACCAGCTGGTCGTTCGTGTGCAACCTAACGACCAACAAACATCTTATACAAACTTGCCTACTCTTACTGGAACCAACACATAGATCATTCTATATTTCACACGCCAACTCACAAAACTAAAAATAAAATATTTTTTTTTAATACAGTTGCTCAAAAAGTGGCGCATTGCAGAGACGTATAGCGTTCGGGATGTGAGCTATTAGTTGTTACTCGTGCTTTTTCTTTACCTTTTCCGAATTCGTGCGTTCTCTGTGCCAACTATCAAAATAATGTCTATTAAAAAGAAAAAAACCAACCACGAAGTTTTTATGATTCTTGCAAATATTTCTAAAAAGAAGCTACTAATTTGTTTCAATATCAGATTTAATGATTTGATTCAATGAGTTACGTTAGGTTTTATTTCATTTAATCTCATTACATTTCATATCAATAAAAAATTCTACTGAAGCTTTGGCTGTATGGGCTTTGTCTTTGCCTACCCAGAATGACAGAATGACCATCAAATTAGTTAGATCTATGGTCAAGCCAAAGAGTATAGTAGGTCAGGCCAAAGACAATTTTTTTTTAAATGAAGGCAAATATAACTTAGAGTCATTACTAAGTTCTTATCCAAATATAAATAATAATATAAAAAATAATAATAATTATAATATAATATTAGTGAAAAAAAAAAACACATGTTTATAACCTATAACAACAAAGTTATTTTTGCTTTGTCATCCAACAAGACCCGTGTCTGCGCAATAACAGCGACATCTATTTTCAATCATCAAAACCACTTGCCACGCTCAAAGACATCGATCGATTTTTCGATTAGTTAGAGAGTTATTGAATTAGCGGAGATATGTATTAATTAGTACTGTGGAGTTTCCGTAGAGGGCGTTAACTGTACGGACGCTGCAGAACGGTTGTGTTGAGTTGTTGATACAGTCATATAAGGCACCAAAATGTCAGAAATAGAGAAACTACTAAAGGAATTGAGAGTTGACATAAAAAAAGACTCTGAATGACTTCTTGTGCAGCTAAACAGTGTTCTAATAATTCAAGAAATAAAAATGAGATACACAGGATTATTTAGCACTAGCTAAAAATTTTATTTTGTTGAAAATTATAATGATGTTTATTGTTGACTTCGCCATGTTTGTGAGAGCGAGATAGATAATACAAACATGCGCGAGAGACACGATACGCGATTAACTAACGCGATTTCGCTCGCACAACTACGACGTTTCCTATCTCTGTCCTTGTCTATCGGTAAATTTAATTTTGTGATTATGATAACAGATGTGTGAACATTCCGTTTTCTTCATACTGCTTGTTTCGACGGCTATCTCTCTTTCTGCACGTGTTCGACTGTCGAAGTGGGCGGTGTTTTGTAAAAGTAAGCTCTATTACAATGCTTATAGATATGAAATATGCATGTCAATATATGTAGCCAGATTTTTGAATTTTGTTGACATTATTTTTTTAGTCTCCATTGAAATGCGCTTTGCATAGTTCAAGTTAAACGTATTTAGTAGTTTTCTAAATTGAGAGATTAACTAAAATATAATTATTCATAGTATTAAGTTCTAAGTGTTAATAGTGAATAGTATAAACAGGAATAGCGGTACTTAGGTATTTAAGTGGTCAAATAGTGTAAATATTAACTATGTTGGCGTCGGCCCGTAAAAACAGTAGAGTGATATGGCACCATTTTGAATAAGACAATAAAACTTTTAAGCAACGTGTAATGAATGTAAAGATGTATTAAGTTATAAGTCGTCCACCGCCAATTCAAAAAATCATCTGTGAAAAAACATCCTTCGGTTTATATATCGGTGTTCGGAGCTGATGATGACCAATCCGGTCATTCATCCCGACCAACGACACGTTTAGATGTAAACAAAACAGCGAAGTGATAACGGCGTTTTGTCTTAGCTCAGGTTGTTTTTTAACCTTTCTAATATTTTTTTCTGAAATATAAAAATTTCACTTAACCTAGGTGATCAGTCAGTGTACCGTACAAGGTAGATATAAGTTAGATGAATAACTAATTTTATTTCTAGAAAATTGTATTGATGTCCAATGTCCACGACAGCGAAATATGATAGTAGGTACGAACGGGACATATTATGCAAAAATACCGATAAGAGTACAAAAATAAACATAAATCAAAATATTTATCTTTGTACTGACTAATTTAGTTACCATTAAACAAATACAGCAATTGTTAATAGACTATTTTCCTACAAATTATTGTGTGTATTTTATTTAATTCTGACCTAGAGATTTAGAGTGAATTCATGCTATGCCAGGAAGTTGTCGAGTTCCCACTAACCCTGTATAATATGGTTTTAACGGGAGAGTAAATTAATTAGATTTTTGTGTTTGATTAATATACATCGTTTCATAAATTCGTTACCTATGTTTTATTGAGCTAAAACATACCTTATAATTATCGCTTGCCTAAAATTTACAAATACTTACAGAATAAAATTAATAACTTAAGTATAATAACGCATAGGCGTCAATTTTACGCTTGGCATAAATGTACTCTAAGTTCTGAATACTCTTTATCTATTGTTCTAAGGGGTCCCTTAATTAAATTAAATTATATACTCTTTGGAGGGGTTCATAGTAATAAATCCATTTGGATTTTTCGAGCTTTGAAGAGTTAAAGGTTTCAGACAACTTTTGGATGGAAAAGATTACAAATCGACAGAAATATTACTAGGGAAAAAAAAATAATTACAATAGTTTTAGGCTTCAGAAATTAGAACGTTTTTGCATACATATCAAGTTAACTAAACGAAATGGGAGACACATATTAAAAATAATGGTAACTTACCTCCCATCTCGTGATGCTGCGCCGCCGTGCAATACAGACTTGATAAATATTCCTAAATCCTGAGGATCTGAGCCCACCGTGACTTTCCCCTTCACGCTGATACCTAGGCCAGCTTTCTCAGAATCGTGAACAGGAACGTCTAGTTGAAGTATTAGACGATTACGGAGTCCCGGTATCTAAAATTTTGTTATATTTAAATGAAAAGAATTTTTCATAACTGCTCATTTTTCATTTTATTCATGAAAAAAAAATGTATTGATAAATATGTATTAATTATATTTTAATATAACAATTATCATAATATTATATTACTCACAGAATTGGAAGACGAATTTAAAGCCTCTTGTACAGGCGAATCCACACCCTGGTCTTTATTTAAAAGGTCATCTTTGGATGAGCTTTTTGGTATCCGCCCTCTCATAGAACTGTTAGTGTTTTGATTATGGTTGATGGCATTAACTATGCTCGACACACGGCCATTCTCAGGCTGATTGTTAGCATCGACTGATTTTGTCGTAGATCCTATAGCTTTTTCTGCATATTTGTTTGGACTCTGTTGGGGCTCTACCCTCTGGAAAAGATGTTTATTTTATTAAACATAGAAATTAAATCACTTTATTTACCGTTATTTATTTTTAGAAATGTGTAAGTAAAACATTTCACTCTAACACTCGACGGCTTCGTGGCGCAGTGGCTTAGCAATCAGTTGTCGCGCTGGGGGCCGCGGGTTCGAATCCCGCACGGAACAAGTATTTGTTTGGCCTACAAATAATTGTTCCTGGTTTGGATGTTTGTCCTTGTGCAATTTATGTTTGTAAACTGCCTCCACGAGACAGGAGAAAATCCTAGTGTGGGGGTAACGTTTTTTAAATAAACAAACAAACAACAAACAAACACTAAAATAATATTATGTATAGCTATGTAGGTATAGTGATGGCTGCACCCATCGTATAATAATATGTACATTCGAATAAAGGGCTGTGCGTATTCAGCTATACATCGTGTATTTAACAAAAAAGAATTAAAATATGTTTATTTTGAAACACATACCTGTGTCCTGTTCGGTACGCTCCTTTCAACCACAATATCCACAGTGGAGTCGGTGGGCGTATTTCGTAGCAACGTGACTACTTGTTGCTGCGTGAGGCCTGATACGGACACGTTGTTGACCGACACTAATCTATCGCCGGCTCTCAGACGTCCATCTGTTACTGCTGCTCCCTAAAAATATATGAATTGCTATTAATTTCTTATTATAAATTCATTACTATAAGAATAAAGATTTTATAAAATTATTTAACAAGGGTTGACTGGTACTAAATGCCATAAAGCATTAAGTCTGCCATTTGTAACCCTTTGCTAAAGGTGATTACAATCAAGGGTAAATAAAAAAGCGCACTTAACTAGCAACTTGTACTTTTATGCCTAGGTAAAATGCTTGAATTTACCTTGGGCAAAATATTTTTTATGTAGATTGGACAGTGTCCACCTGTAGGGTTGTCTCTCGTAGTAATGGTAAAACCGAGGCCTTTTTCGCCCTTCACTAAAGTCACGGCCACGGTTTGCGTCGCACCACTTACTGCCTTACTACTCGGACTCACTGGAACTTCTAGTCCTGATATTGCACGCTCGCTGCTGCCTACTGAAAAACAAACAATGCTATGTATTAACAATATCATTAATCGGAATACTGAACTGATGGAGGTAGCCAGTACACTTACAGACTGTAAGTCATTCCATTTTAGTTTTCAGAGATGACAACGCATCTGTATGATTCTTTGTTTGAAGTAGTAAGCATGGGTGGCAATAGCCATTTACCATTACGTGGGCAGTAAGATCGTTTGTCACTAAAATTAAAAAAAAAAAAGATGAAAAAATTAAAGTTACATACAGCCTATTCGTTTACTTTAACTACTGGATACAGGTCTGTTCTTATTTCGCAATTTGTTCACCGCGTATTGCGTGTTAGCAAATTACAGTAAAATCCACCAACATCCAACATGCAGCTCTCCATCAGCAGTTAGATGTAACATTTGACGTCTTGCAATTATTACGAGACTCTTTGTAGCTTGTTACCACTAAGGGCTATAATGGAATGACTCAAACCTATCTATCGTATATATCCGCATGCCAAGTGTGACTATTACGTCAAATATAAATCCGTATTTAGATATAGGCTGTTTATGATGAGATGATTAATTAAATATTTAATTATTTGACCTTGTCTCTGCAGAATTGATTCAGAAGTAATCAACATTCGTAAATAATATTTACTTAAACAAAATTATTAGGATTGTGTAGTAAATTAACACTCTTTTTTTATTTATTTTCATTAATAAGAAAAGAGAGAGAACACAGTCCACTAGATGATAAGAGGTTGCTGTGGCCCATAGACATCTACATCTATCCTCGATTACGAATCAAAATGCAGATGTGTTGTCACCTGTGTGGACTAAGATTGAATGCCTCGTTTCCAGTAAAAAGCGTCTCCGGTTGTTTACACTCACCATACGGAACCCAGCAGCATTAAGCTGCTATTTTACGCTGGTATTCCTGTGAGAGCGTGGTCCTTCCCCGGTCGAGCCGACCCATTCGTGCTACAACTATACCAGTAATATAGCTACAGCATGTCTCTACCACGTATAAGCATGGCTCTACCACATAAAATGCAATTGAAGAATCCACTACCCCATACCATCCCCGTGTGTGTCGTAAGTGGCGACAGAAGTATGAAACTGGAGATAAGCAGCAACGTTTTCCTGCAAAATAATAAAAACTGTGTTTACCAACCCACCTCACAAGCGTGGCAACTATGGCAAGTACATCACACAACGCCTATGTTCAGCCGTGAACTTTTGATAGGCCTCAATGAATGAATGAATGTAATAGAATCAATTTAATTCCAAGTATTATTAAAGTCTAATGACTACCAATTAGGTACCTTCATGGTGAAGGTCTAACGGACGTTCTTGTCCTGAAGGCACGCTTGTGACATTGTTGACTCCCGATACCCATCGGAGCATGTCCTCAACTCTGCAAATAAAAGGAAAAAAAATGGTAAAAATAAAAATACAATTATAAAAATTAATTATGTCTCAAGTAAGACCTCTCGCTTCGAGAGAGAGTACTATTGTAGGTAGTAATTTTTTTAAAGAGAAAAAGCAAAATAAAAAAAATGGCTGCCTCATTGGTCTAGTGGTAGTAAACGCGACTGATGATCTTGAGATTCCGGGTTCGAATCCCAGGTGGGGTCAAAATCAGTTATTGGGTTTTTCTAACAAGAAATTCTTACTAGCGGCCCGGAATCAAGAAGTTGGCAGTATTTAACCCCAGTGCCTCCTCAGAAAGCACGTAAAGGCGATGGTCCTGCGCCTGATCTCTCTCAGGTCGTGTCGGTCAAACGACAACCCATCGAAATATGAGTGTGTATAGAGAGTGCACCTGCGCTTGCGCAAACACTGGGTAACTATTATCCTGTCCTGCGCAGATGACTATTCTTCGTGGAGACCGGCCGCCGTGACCGTAATTCGATCTGAACGCCATTATAAATAGAAAAGAAAAATACCGTCAAGTGTGAGTCGGAATTTAATGAATTTATTGAAATCATGTGTTCCATTTCGCAATAATATTTCGTTAGATACTTGGTATAAGTTGTCCTTATTTCAAATATTTGAGATTTTTAAGATAAGGAGATAAATAATTGAATAATTTCATATGTTATCATAAGTCATATAGATTAAGAAACTTAGTGCTTTTTGAGTAATTAATTTGAATTTTTATAATTTTTAAATAATAATACCTGATTTTTACCGCAATTTTGTTCATTCATAAAATATATTCTGTAAAATATTAGTGTTTTGTAATTCTCCTTAGTCTAGTAGCGCGACTGCTGATTATGTGATCCAGTGTTCGAGTCGGTCGGAGTCGGGTCAAAATCAGTTATTGGGTTGTTCTGTCATAGAATATATAATAGTACTACGCACAGAAGTTGCACTCCTTTGATGTTGACTGCTTGCCGACATTTTAATAGCCTACATTATTATTACTAATTAGATAAATCACTCCCGCAAGCTAAATAAAACTATCGCTGCACTCGAGTGTCCGTATTACTTTGCATCCTTTCCCCTTTCTACGTCATGGCGGACTCTCCGCGGTCACTAAGGGCTGTCAATAAAGAGTAAAAAATACATTGCAAAATGGTAAGTAAGTTACTTAGAATGATCGACTGACCATATTTTTGCTACTATGCGAGTTCTGTGATGCCCAAGACATGCAATTTGCAAGGCTATTCGTCGGGAATCGAGATGCTTGGCTCGGAAGAAACAGGTAGATAGTGTAAACAACAAATAAACCCAAAATACGATTCCTAACAGAAATGTGATCGTATTCCACTAAGTTAAAAATCTTATAAACAAAGTTTTAATTTCAGTATTATGTGTTATTATAACTTAAAATATTTTAATTACAAAAAACTAGTATAGGTATCTAAGTAGGGACTTGGGTAGTGAAGTAAATTTCAACTAAGTTTTGTAATAAAGTACTTAGGTATTACTTCTGTAGTTAAATTATTACTTAATTCTTTTTTTGCTATAAGTATCTAACCTATGTAGTTCTAAGTACCTTTCTTTATCCTTCGGTAACTTAAAAAATGATATAACTGAATCCTTTCGTGTGCTCATTAGGCATCCATCCCCATCCCCGCAACAATTATAGTAGAAACTACGTTTTGCCATTATAATTTATCAAATATATAGGTAATATACATGTATTATTATTATTTTTAAATTAAAATGAAACTTTCAACTATTTTATCCTATAATTAAATATACTAAATACTAAACAAAAACTATTTCAACAAGTATTTACAAAACACTATTTACGTAAACAGCGTTAAAAAACTTGAACATTCAATCGCCTAGAACACGCTAGCCCCGACTGCGTTCTACCCCGGGGGCGGCTCGCGACTGTAGGAAATTATTTCACGCAGGTAGCAAGAGTGACAGAGGCCCGGTTCTGTCAAGATGTTATCTGTTGTGTTGGATTGCCGTCCCATTAGTCAGTCTATAAGAGTGAGGAAAAAGAGAGTGCACTTTCGCTTGCGCATTAACTCGTGGACTATAATCTTGTTCTGCGCAGATGATTAGTCTCCGTTGAGACTGGCCGCTGTGGCCTAAATCCGGTCGAAAGGACATTATATAGGTATTGCATTTTCAAAATTTTTATGTTAGCTTTTCACCTGTGACTTTGATGGGTATCTACAGGCGTATCCTGTCCTAGAGGTTCCCTTCTAGCATCTCGTGGAAGACTTTTGCTGCCGTATATTTGTACTCGTTCAGCCGCATCTAACCAAACACCGCTTCTGAAATATAATTAAAGTGGTGTTACAAAAACTACAATTATAAATATATTATAATACCATAAACGTCTCACTTTACTAGAAATAATAAATATTTTTTTACAAAACGAATCATTTTTAAGAAAGGGATATGAAATGTAATTAATGTAGCAGACGATTTCCTGGTTTGCAAACATTTATTATGTAATTTTAATTACACTTTTAACCTTGACTCTACATTTTAAATGTTTATGAGAAAGTCTTACCTAAGCCGTGAGAGATAAACATATTATGAGCTGCAGTAAATTGTATGTTCCGCAGAACAAGAAAAAGTATGTTCCATAGAACAGAAAACACACTTTCTGCTCAGTGTTTAAGCACCTACCCAGGTCCCGAGAACTGCATGGACAGTCGATTGGATTGGCGTTGAAAGTGTTGTGCGTGCGCGTGGCGCTCCGGGCCGGCGTCGGGCAGCGGGTGCACTTTGTGCGTGACGCGACTGCTGTCGTCGCGGCACACCACCGCAGCCGACCAGCGCTTCGTTTGATCCGTTACCTGCAATTACAATAACAATAACAATTATGTATCCATCCCTGCGAGGATAATCAGTATCCTTGCATTATTTACGTCTGAATAATTACATTTAGCGCATGAAGACCGCGTTGGCGTAGCTAAAGAAGGTTTGCAATCGAAAATCGGGACATGACCGTTGTAAGCGTTGCGTCCCCGTGTACCGCTCACTAAATCATTTGTACCCTATTTCTTTTCCAAATGCCCCTGGTCGGTGTTCCAATAGCCCCAGATAGTGGTTATTTTATTTGACTATTGGTCATTGGCTAGCAGCAGCTAGCAGACCATCTGACGGAAAGTGGCTACTGCAGCTCATGAACATTGGCAATCAACTGTAAAAAAATACATTGTCACCTTTTTTATAGAATACGGGTAACAAACGAGCACACAGTCCACCTGATGGTAAGTTGTTGCTGTGGCCCATCGACATTTACATCTACCCAAAATAAATAATCAATACACAGATGCGTTGTCACCCCTGAGGACTAAGATGAAATGTCTCATTTCCAGTAAAAGTCTCCGGTTCTCTACATTCACCATACGAAACACAGCAGCATTCGGCTGCTATTTTAAGCTTGTATTCTGTGAGAGCGTGGCCCTTCCCCGGTCAGGCCGACCCATTCCTGCTACAACCATTATATAGCTGCAGCATGGCTCTAAAACGTACACGGAAGATTAAGTTGAAAAGTCTTAAAAGTCAGAACATGTATAATACCGGCTCTATTATATTTATATCCCACCGGAACACATAAGTGAGCGAAGTTATATGGTATGAAAATTAAATTAGGGTAAACTTAGTATACATTTTTTATTTACGACGTCAAGACTATGAAATAAATTATTATTAATTTTTTCGTTTTCGATTTCATATAGTTTTTTAGTTCGCGTACTACGCACACCTTAAATTTCACAGTATGCGAGCGACCCGAATTCGACCCCCTTGTTTATTAATTTCAATTTTAAGTGCTGATTTACAAAATACTCGAGTGTACTGGAAAACATCGTGAGTTAATCTACATGTCGGAGAAACAAAATACTTCGATAAACAGGTGAAGTCCGTCAACACGCACTGAAGTATTATCTCACTCAGAAATGGAAGGAATTCTCAAATTCTGTGCCCTAACAGTGGGAACGTACCTACATAGGATGTAACTATTACTTACTTTTATATTCGTTCATTAAAGATGACTTAACTATTTAAAACACGGGTATTATCTGATTTCCCATGTCTTCTTTTATATAAGCTTTCGTCACAAAGCCTTAAAATTACCATAACATTTAATCAATTTATCAATGCGAATAGAAAAAACTAGTTACAATTCATTCATTCATAATAACGTATTTGTTTGGGTTGAGAAACAACCGGTTTGCCAAGTTTCGTTATCGCTGTGTAAATTAGAAAGTTGACTGATAGCTAAATTAACCTATTCAATGAACCTGACTTGCGTATGAGTAATTTTTTATTTAAAGTAGACATAAAAATTTAACTTGATTCTCATTCTGTAACTTGGATGGATCCACTGTAATACTTAATATACTTTAGATCATTTATTAATGTGACTAGGGTGTAAAGTTCCGAATACATCACGAGTGTCCGCGCTTACATAGTGAGTATTCGGTATACCTGTATCTATCTACTCGTATAAGAAATCTAATGCTTACGCGATAAGTCCGTAGGCTCGATTAATAATCCGTCTGCCAATGCCAAACGTGGCGATTATGGCAGATTATCCATGAATAGGCTAGCCATGACGGCTGATGTCCAATTATTTACAGCATATAAATTGACGACCATGTATCTAAAATATGTCTGTATGTATATGAATAATGCCCAATCGCGGTCAGGACCATACAAAATATCAACGAACTTAAACTATGAGAGTTTGTTAAATATTTTTTTTTATTCTGGATATTTTTCTATAAGGGTGACAAACGAGCACACAGTCCACCTGCTAGTAAGTAAATGTTGTGGCATCTACATATGTCCTCGATTATGATGGAATGTTTATCTTGAGGACTAAGATGGAATACCTCGTTTCCTGTAAAAAGGATCTCCGGTTCTCTAAACACCCTACGAAACACAGCAGCATTAAGCTGCTATTTTACGCTGGTATACTGTAAAAACGTAGTTTTTCCCCGGTCAAGCCGACCTATTCGTGCTACAATCATATTAAGGCTGCAGCGTGGCTCTACCATATATAACTATTGTACCCGTGTCTCTGACATTGCGTCGAAACCTACGATATAATAAATATATTATATCTTAATTAGGTTCCTTCTTGAACGTGAACGAACATAGTGCTATAAATCTTCAAATTTTAAAAACAAGTTCATTCAGACATCTATACTATCGTCGGTTATGAGGTTGATTAGACTCAAGTATATAAGAGCCTTTCGCGTATGTGTATTTATTCTTCATTATAATACAGCAAGTTCAAAAGTAATAATTTCTGAGCAAATAGGTATAAATGAAAGAAACCATAGCAACAACATAACCGACCGACTTTTTTTTTAAACAAAAAATGTTTAATTGTCGATAGGTACCTGTCTCTGCTGCGGCATCGTGTCCTGGTGCAGCGTGGGCTCGCTGCCGCGCCGCACCTGCAGCCCGCTCACGCCGTCCTCCAGCTCCCCAGCCCCCACCTCCACGCACGACTCCGTGGTGCCGACCCGCATGCTGCCGCCCACGCTGCCGCCGCCCTGCAATATTTTTCCTTATAAAAATACTCCCACACTAGGATTTTCTCTTGTATCGTTGAGGAATGATTTACATATAAATTGGCTGATACATAAGACAAACATTTTGCCCGCTCCGTGGCGCAATGGCTTATGGCAATCGAGTTACGGCCGCGGGTTCTAATCCAGCACGGAACAAGTAATTGCATGGCCTACAAATAATTGTTCCGGACTGGATGTTTGTCCTTGTGTAATGTATGTTTGTAAACTGCCTGCACGATACAGGAGAAAATCCTATTAGTGTAGGGGTAACATTTTAAAAAATCCAATTGCTTAGCCACAACGCTACGCTACCAAGCCGTCAATATGTATGAACGTAATAGAATTTTGTAATTCAGTTTCCACCCATTTCAGGACGCTTCAAAAATCTGAAATTTTGCATGCCTATTAAAAACCGAAGATAATGTAATAATTTCATGACAACCACTATTCTTACAAAGATCACCACAGCGCATGACCAATGCGTGTACTTTAGTTTTTTTTAAACCTTATTTTATTAAATCTACGGTTCAACATTTTCGAGAATGCATTGGCGCGTTCAATATGAAAGAGTTACCCTACTCACCTAAGCAGGCCAGGCAGATTTTAGCAAGCAAAAACACAAACATCCGTATGTAGGATTTGGATTTGGTTTTAAATGGATTTTACAGTCGGTCGCTAGGGTCATCTCTGAGAGTTTTAAAAAAAATATATTGATGCAATAAAATGTAAGACAGAATCCGTATGTACCTTTAATTCTATCGTCTACAGCTGTAATTTGTATTTATGTACCGCAAGCATTTCGCAGTGTAAAACTTAATGAAATATATATTTGTTAATTTATTAATGAAAGATATAAAAAATGCAATTCTATCTGCCTTACTTATCTTCACGCACAATCCCTGACGGGGTAGCCAGAGAGAACAGATCGCCAAGTGTCACGATCCTTACATACCTCTTTCGCTTCTTTCAGATTCATTATCTTCTTCATACATGCACGTCTAGGTATCCGAGTACTCTTGACCCTACCCTCTTCGAGCAATCTGCCTTCATTACCATATTTTCATTTGCTGACTACTTAATTTGACGTATAATTTTATTTTGTTTAAAAAACACTACGGCATCGTTGGAAATCAGTACTTTATTAGGCACACACACGCACATAAATGTTCTTAAAAACTGGAGACGAACTCAACGAACCTCAAAACGTGGACATTTATTCAAATTTGGACTATCAATAACCTATTTTCACCATATCGACTTCTAAATGGTTGAATAATTTCATTTTTTCTTTTTATTAAAATATTGTTCCATATAAAATCCGTTCACACGCTTGTATTTCAATGTACCTACTCTTATCGTTAAAACGAAACCTGGCGGTAAGTATTCGTATTTATTTTGCTTGAAATTGTTAATTATGCAAATATACTTGATGGGCTTAGTACTCGTATGTGTGTTAGGCGTGGCGTGGTCCACGTGGTTGCCAGCGTTCTCTGAAATTCCGTTAGGCTGGTTCAGTTCGTTATATACTGAAATAATTACTTATTCAATACCTATGTATATTAATACGGTGCGCGTGTTGACTTCATACTGCCATGTGTGAAAAAAACCAATTAACAAAATAATTTGTAATTATAATAATATGGTTCTTTTCTTGTGGATAAAAAAGGAAATGGGTACCGGTATGTTCCTGATAACAACTCAAAATGAGGCAATCCATGGGAAAGGCCTGTGTTAAACAATGGATTTTAGAAAGTATATAATGATTGAATAAAAGTAATTTAACGGATTTTATATTTTTAATTTCGGCATTCAATATAGTCCGACCCTATGGGCCTATACCCCATGATCGTTGGTACCTACTACAAAACGCCTGAAACTTTGGAAAACAAAAAAGTTAAAAATCATTTTTATTTTTTAAAACGCAACGTCTGAACTTTGAACTATTAGGTACCTACCTACATTACTTATCCCTTCTTATGATCTTCTTCTTACTTACGTTCATAAACTTTTATAGGTTGGTTTATAGATTACCAAACATGCCTTTAAAGAGTGTTTTGTTTCAATTTTTTTAATTTCTTTCTTTTTTATAATAAAACTAGAATATTACGAATAACAATTATCAGCATTTCCTATCTGATTTAACAAAAGATCAAACAAAGCGAAAACCAAAGATGTTTTGACCTATAAAATATCTTTGGCGAAAACATTGAACATTCTAATTCTAAACTATCAATATCCTAGTTTAGAATTTTGAACTTTGTTTTTTGGGAAGGAAACTCAGAGCGCTGCAACAATAGTATGTTTTGAGTACTTACTTATCGATCTTTCTACCATGTCCGTATATGCAACAGTAGATTAGGAAATAATTATTCGTTATATAAAGAAGCACACTTAACAAAATGCTATTAGGTATAATATTTTCTTCTATTACTTATTTTCGAAACTTTTGTTTCCAAAATTCACTGAACACACTCGCAATAGGTTTATTAAAATAATTTAATATGAAGATAGCGTGCCCCACAATATCTAATATGTATAGGTAGGTACCTACTGCAATCTTTACGAAATCTTGCTACGCACACAAGTTTTGGCGGGAACTTGGCCGGCGGCGATTTGTTGTTCCTGTCAAAATCAGTATACGTGCATTTTGTAAGTAGGTAATTAGAACAACACACGAGAATAAATCGCGTAGCAGAAAATTATATGAAACGCGTGTAAACGAAGCAAGCAATAGTAGAAAATACTTTTCGGCCGTCGGGTATTTTTACTTGCAAGTATGACGTGTTAGGCCGGCCAAATACATACGGAATTCCGTTTCGGGATTCCGTTTCGGAATTCCAAACGGGTCGGCTACACACATACGGAATCCGGTTTTGCCCGCAACATTTCGAACGGAAAACTAACGTACGTGTGTGGCGGGTCATAGATTTTATATGGACTTGCTGCGTTCGGAATTCCGAATCGGAATATCGAAACGGAATCCCGAAACGTAATTCCGTATGTATGTGGCCGGCCTTATTGTTTAAATAATGGTTTGAAGTGGACTTTGTAGTATTATACTACTTACGTATCATTTTACATTATTTTAAATTCATTTTTCCATTCCGTTTCGATTTTCTGCATTCACCTCAAAACTGGATATTTTACATCACCTTTATTTCCATAGGATCCTGTAACGATTTTAAACCATAAGAACACAATAACAAATCATTTCTACTTCGTATTTTCACATTATCAGCACTTTTAAATTGGTGTCAATGGAGTCTACCTTTTTTCGATCTTTTAGCTAGTTTTCCGTAACTCTATAATCTTGGGCTTTGTGTGGACAGCTGCGCTACCTTTTTTCCTATATCAATAATATCTCATTTTCCACTTAAATCTTACCGTTTTCTTATTATAAACCAAAAACAAAAATTTGACATATTTTGTCTTTCTTATTTATATCGTTTCCATGGAAATTATATTCAAATTTGCTACCGACCTGTTATTCCTATTTCGATAATTACACATAAATCCTCTTTTCTCTTGACCATTTACAAAAAATTTGCGTATAATTTAAATAATTTTTCCGTTCTCTCTAGAAAGGTATAAAAGCCGAACAATCGGTGAAGAAAGGCAGTCTCGCTTCAGTTCGCGAATTGGAAGTATCTCCTAAAGACCTTATCCCGGGGCCGCACTGCCCCGGGATCCTGCAAGCCTCCATTTACACGTGAAGTCTTCGGCGAAGCCTTCTTCAAACTCGGGCCGCGCCACTCCGGAATCCTACAAGCCTCCATCTACCTCGGAAGTCGCTTCGAGTCTACTACAAGCGCGGGGGCCACACTACTCCGGGCACTACTACTACTTACTCCAGGCGCCGAGTGCACCTACCGCCGGCGCTACCTTTGGGCGCTGCAACTGCTGGCTCTAAGCGTTGCGCGCCCCTTCTCCAGGCGCTACGTGCGCCGGCTCCGGACGCTGCGTGTACTGGCTCCAGGCGCTGCGCGCCGTCGCTGCTAAGAAACCTACTTCTACAAGCGCAAACGGCGTGTGCTGGCTTCAGGCGCTGCGTGCCGTCGCTGCTAAGAAACCTACTTCTACAAACGCAACGTGTGTCGCTTCGACTTTTAGGCCCCACTACAACACTATATTCCCCTATTCTCTCACCTTTATTTTTTTTTTTTTATAATCTAATTGTACTCTCACTTCATTCATCATCATCCTCACATCATTTTTTTATAAAATTGTAAATACCTTTTATAAATTTAAATATATTGTTTTCTGGCTCTACCTTTGTTGTTTTGTTGTACTTAGGTTAGGTTCTATTTTTTATTTTTTTTAATTGTCGCTTCACGACGTGATACGTAAAAGTGGTGCGATTTTGTGTATTAAGTGTCTGCGCATTTGAACTATTAGTGGAAACTGTGAAACAAGTGCTCTGATGGTGATGTGATTCTCAAAATAAGGTGTATGTCTGTTTAGGCGCCTTTAGATACCATCGCCAACCATCAGTAGTCTGCTGGCTCAAGTTGCCGTCAAAATCTCCCAAGGGCTGCACAATGTGACGCATCAACATATTGTGAAGCAGTATACTATGAAGGATAATTATAATATATTGTAACTTCAGGCTCAGAAGGGCTAGATCCAAGAGCCATAAAGCAAGTTGTTAAAAAAAATTGCTACGCACACGCACATGAGCTATGCTATGCTCATACGGCTCCATTCCATTCATGAATACCAATTACCAATTGAGCATCGAAAAATTGTTAGGACATTGCCATGAAGGTTATTTCAATATTAAATTGGGAAAATACTGGTGTAATATTATTACCTATTAGCTTATGTTAGCATAACTGATCTCCATGATTTTTATCAGTCCGCAAACAGCCCATGTCCAGCTTTAGGTCATAGCTACTGGACATGGGCTTATTCCATTGTATTGGAGGATTTGCAGTAATCGGTACACTGAGACAGGCTGTTGGATTTTTTGGTCGGCTGTGGGGCACTACACGGAAAATGGTTTTAAGGGAATATGGAATTTATTCATTTTACCAGTAGATAGATACCATGTATGCAAATAAAAAAATGCATACTTGAAATTTTTTTAACAAAACATTAAACACTGTAATGAGAACACAGAACTGCAGAAAGTTGATGCGCGAATATTAAGTTTACAAGAAAAAAAAATATTTTACCTTCCCTGATGATTTCCGGCAACGGCAATTCGAGAAACACGAGCCCATGTCTAAATAACAGCCGACAGAAAATCGAAATTGTTCACGTCTTGAAAACATGTCATGAAATGAATGAACGAAAAAATACAACAAAATCTCTCTTTCAAAACTTGCAACAAGTTGTGACTTGTGAACTTTTGATTGTGTCAAGCTGATTCGCGGTAATATTTTTTTTTCTTTTCAAGCCTAACGTCACAAGTCATTCAGCCATATCATCAGATATTTTTTACTTAAAAGTTATTTATTTAATTAAAACAATTTCATATCGTATGCAAGAGGCATAGGCATATTGACGATAAAGCATATTTAGCTTAAGTGGCTTTCAATAGTTTCAATTGTGAATTTTGACTGTTAATAGTCACTAAGAGTAACCTACAAAATAAAGAATATAATTTTTTTAAATTTTCCGTTATTTAATATTAAACAATAATGAAAAATGGGTGCCACACTGCACAATAAGTTCGCACTACATTCTTCCTAGTGGAAACTGATAAAAATAATAAATGTGGAGAAAAATATTAAATTAAAAGATATTCAAGTATTTATTAAGACATTATTTCGCATAACAAAAGAAACATTTCATAAGATTACGCAGAAGATAATTTAAAATTAAAAATTTTGTACAACCGACTTCAATATAAATTATTAAGTATAACGCAAAAACCTTCGGTCAGACCTTGATTAAATTTTTATGGGGAGAAGCACCAGATTTCAAACAAAAGAAGAATCATTGAAATCGGTTCACCCAGAAAAAAGTTATGCGGTAACAGACATAAAAAAAAAGAAAAAAAAAGAGAACTGTTGAATTGAGTACTGTCTCCTTTTTGAAGTCGGTAGAAAATAAATTAAAACGATCGGTTGTACAAAATTTTTAATTGTATCACTTGTTCATTTTTATGTCAGGCGCTTTGCTATCTTATCACGAAGGGAGCCAACTTCTTTTTATACTTTTAATGGTTTCTTGATTAGCACTATGTTGTACTCGTTGTTGTAGTAAAGCAGTGTATTAAAGCTATTGAGTTATATTGTACTACGTACTAGAGAAGCTATTCCAAACAAAAATTGTTCGCTACTCTATGTCTTCGCGCATGCGCGGGAGATAGTAGAGTCGCGTATGCGCGAAGACTAATCTATACAATAAATAAAATTGAAGTGTCTGTTTGTAATGTCAAAATAACAGCTTTTTAGTAATAGCATATGAAAGTATATACGGTACTTGTAACAAAAACACAATTTTTTAAAAAAAATTCTGTCTGTCTGTCTGCTTGTTCCGGCTAATCTCCGAAACGGCTGGATCGATTTTGACGGGGCATTCACTGTTAGATAGCTCATGTTACAAGGAGTAACTTAGGCTACTAATATTTTTTTACAGTAATGAAACATTTGATGCGACTATCAGAGGCACTATAATTGCAGGTCGCTCAACAGAGAGTAAGTGAATGAAGGAATATGTTTAGTTATGAATAAAAACCAATCAAACTGGTTATTAAAATCATTACAACCAAATAAAACGTACTCGAAACATATCCGGCGAAGCGGTACCGGCCGAAGAGCCGCTGGCACCATCGGCTTGCGCCGCTCTTGGCTGTGGTGTCTGACTTGTACATTCAGCCGTCAGTGTTTCTCGGTCATCCGCCACATCGCACACGCGGTCGTCTGGATCCAGAATGCCGCCGGAGCTGGCGCGTAGTGCCCTTACACCTACCCATGTTTCCGGACCCTGCAAAATAAAAATGTGTTAATGAGGTTGCTTAAAGTATATTTTGATATTTATTTATATGCATATTTTATAACATAGTATATTAAGGATTTCTTATATTTATAGTAAAATGGAAATTCCCAAGCTCTGGCCCTGATTCTTCGTCTACAATAATTTCTGGATGAAACTGCACACTTTTAATAACTAAAAGGTATAAAAACAATTTTCATACGTGCTATATATATATATATATATATATATAGTATACGAATGGATTGTCGTCTCGACCGAGGAAGGACCACACTCTCAGTGTTTCGCATGGTGAGTGTTGAAAACCGAATACCTTTTTTACAGGTATGGTTACGAAGTATTCCATCTTAGTCTTCAGGGGTGACAACGCATCTGCGTGTTGAATCTTAATCGAAGATAGATGTAAATGTCTATGGGCCATAGCATCCACTGACCATCAGGTGAACTGTTTGCTCATTTATCGCACTTACCCTTAAGAAAAAATATTTGGTCTTAAAATAAATAAAAGCGGAAATACATCATATAACAGTAAGTCATTTGATGCTAACATTCACATGTAACTATCTCAATGCGCGACTATTCACACTGTTTGCTGGTTTAACGAAGCTAAAATGTTTTTATCGTGTAAAAATTAAGCACGGAACCTATGTGAAAATGTTCTCACGCTTTATTTACGGCTTTCAATCTATTCATTATTGAAAGCGAGCATCACATATGGTTATACATATACCTTGCACACGTTCTTTGACTCTTTTGTGTGCTCATCAAGCAGTTTTGTTCGCTTGTTCGTGAACCTTTGTATGTATGACAACGCGCAACTCTGAATAATGGCAACCGCTAACAAAACCGATTAAACATAATATTATATAAATAATCCTCTGTGACCCTCAATATTAATCGGCTTTAAACGTCAATCATACGTGTCATCTATATACTACATATAAATAAAATTAAAGTGTCTGGCTGTTATTTATCGAAATAATCGGTTTCATTTAGGCTCAAGGGTTTATTTGTGAGCTATCAAGACATAAATAACCATTTTTACAAATTTTGTCTGTCTGTCTGTCTGTCCGGCTAATCCTCAAAATGACTGAACCGATTGTGATTAAATGTATCTTATTTATAAATAGATAGAACGGCTCCGTGGCGCAGTGGCTTAGCAATGAGTTGTTGCGCTGGGTGCCGCGGGTTCAAATCCCGCACGGAACAAGTATTTGTATGGCCTACAAATAATTGTTCCGGGTCTGGATGTTTGTCCTCACGCAATTTATGTGTGTAAACTGCCTACGAGATACAGGAGAAAATCCTAGTGTGGGGTTAATGGTTCTTAAAACTAAAAAAAATAATAATAATGCCAGGGGTGATTTCGGCTACATTTTGGATTTTTTGTGAAATATTAAAACTGTTAAAACATGTTTTTTGATGTTTAGCTCACGTTAAATAGATTGGAAATCGAATAACAACTACATACTATGTCGATCGAGACCATGTAACAACACAGTCACACAAATCTACATAATATTAAACAAGCGATAAATCTTGACCACCCTTGTACAGGTGACAGAATGTGTCGATTAAATATTACAACTTCTGCACCCCACCTGCGAGGTACATCCTGCTAATTTATGAAAAAAGCTCTGACGACAGACTGACGTTGGAAAATTCACCCAAACATACCAACACCAAATTTTACACATCCACACAGGCGATACTATAGATGCGTGAGCGTCTCTTTACTTGCCCTCACTAAACCGGCTGCTCAGTATAGTGAATAACTTTATAAGGATGCGGGTTCATTTTTAAGAGTTTTTGCCTATATTTTTTTAGGATAAGCATAACAAGCGAGCACACAGTCCACCTCATGGTAGGTGGTTGCTGTGGCCCATAGACATCTACATCTAACATAGTTTGCGAATCAAAATGCAGATGCGTTGTCACCCGTGAGGACTAAGATGGAATGCCTCTTTTCCAGTAAAAAGGGTCTCCGGTCCTCTACACTCACCAGACGAAACACAGCATCATTAAGCGGCTATTTTACGCTGGTATTCTGTGAGAGCGTGGTCCTTCCCCGGTCGAGCCGACCCATTCGTACTACAACTATACAATTAATTTAGCTGCAGCATGGCTCTACCACGTAAAATTATGTACATAGTACATAGTATAAATGATATGTAAAACATAATATATTTATTTGCAATATAATAATGCATTATGTGGAATAACAAAATGCATTCGTATACTTGAACTCATAAACCTCATTGTGGATTTAGCTACCAGCCATCACAAAATGAGTATTTGCAATGTCCGCTACCGCCAGCTTTCGGCGGCTAGCTCATTAAACTATACTGTTTGCCTTAGCTTATGCTCACTGGCTTTTCCTCGAAAAGCTGACGACGATGATGATTATGTACATCATGAACCTAAGTTACCCCACCATTTCACCACACAACCAAATTCAATCGAGGTTAAAGTATATTGGTCATAAATCCTGTACAAACATCAGGCCAGCCAATAGCAACCGTTTTATAAGATAGATACTAATTCGAATCAAATTTAGTTTTAATTTTTACATCAAACATTATCACACTGTAAGACTGTGTGAGCGATTGTGTCATAATATTATGCTTGAAATGTTTACTGACATACACTCTAGGGCTGTTTACTGACATACAATGCAGGGCTGGCATGGGCAGGAGACAATTTTATCCTCAGGGAAAGGAGAAAATGTTTATCCCCTCGCTTAGTTTCATCCACCCTTCGTGCATGGCCACACCGGTGGATATAATATCCACAGTATATACACTATACACTAAACCCATGTCCAATGAACTAGGATAAAATTGTTCATTTCAAATATCAAAAAAGCATAATGTTTTATCTTTCATTTAGCAACATGCTACGGAAGGGGGATATATACACTGCAGGCCAAAAGTTTAAGACCACCATAATCAAAGAAGGAAAATTAAATAAAACCCCAATAAAATATTAAATGTTTAATTAAACTGTTAAATTATCCAATAAAACACTTTAAAAACATCAATATAATTGAAAAGCGTAAAGAAATATTAACAGTCCATGCTAAAAAAGGCGATAGTTAGCTAAAATGATTTTTCATCAAATAATCCCCCTTTGCATTCTATGACTTTTTTCACAAGTCTCGGTATACGGGCAATCAATTTGTTGATAGTGTCTTGTGATATATTACTCCAACTTTCGCACAAGGCATTCCACATTTTTTTTCGCGAGGGTGGACCACAATTACGTACGTTCCTATCAAGCTCTTCCCACAAAAGTTCAATGGGATTGAGATCCGGGCTCTGAGGAGGCGAAACCATGTTTTTAACACCCCTTGTGCCTCTTTCTCTTCCAAATATCCTCTGCATAATTTTGAGCTATGCTTAGAAGCATTGTCCTGTTTAAAAATGAATCCATCTCCAATTAATCGCAACCCCGAAGGAACGGCATGTTCTAAAATTTTTTTGTACTTTTCCCTTTTCATAATTTCGTCAATTTAGATAAAATCGCCAGTTCCTTGGCTAGAAAAGCAACTCCAGACCATAATTGAGCCACCACCATGCTTAACGGGACTACACAGTCTGGCATCATCTTTTCTTGGTCACTGCGTCGAACGTAAATTCTTCGTTTTGAACCTATTCGGCTCAAACTTTGATTCATCGGTCCAACGAACTTTTTTGAAATCTTCTTTAGTCCAATCTCGATGAGCAAGGGCCCATTGCATCCGTTTTTTCTTGTTCTGTGGCCTTAGCAGAGGTTTTGGAACGGCGACACGACCATACAATTTCGCATCTCTCAGGCGCCGTTTTACTGTAGTCAATGATAAAGGTTTAACTCGGGTTTTGTTTACTTCAACGCAGATTTCTGGTGCTATTAAGCGTCTGTTTCGCTTGCTGGTAACAACAATGAAATGATGTTCACTTGACGTGGTAGCTCTCGGCCTTCCCGAGCGTGGACGATCTTGAAAAGTGCCTGTCTCCCTGTATCGAGTTATTGTGCCATGAACACAAGTCTTCGATAACCTCAATAGTAAAGCAATCGCACGTTCGGATTTGCCTTCATTATGTAAAACAACGATGGTAGAACGCACTTCACTGCTAATTTCGCGTGCTTTTCCCATTTTAAGACGTCTTCACTATAGAAACCACAAGTTTAGACTAATTAAGATTGTTTTTGAACAAAAGCATGTAAACTCAGGTAATAATAAGTCGGAAACACGTGTTTATAGAAGTTAAATAATCCTAATTATTGACCAATGGGAAACAAAAGCAAAGCAATTAGTTATTAACCCATCATAAAAATATTATTACGACTCTACCATCTGGCCTAACGCAGCGTTTGCCGGTGTTTGAAAACAATACATGTTTATTGTCCAATAACTTGTAAGTAAATAAAAGAATGACTTCTTTAGATATTCGTTATAAACAATAGAATATGCAGATGTACATTTCTTTTATTTATCTTATGGGATTTCGTTACAATTTATAGATAGTTATGTTGTTTAAGTGTGGTCTTAAACTTTTGACCGGCATTGTATATTATGTCAAATGGGGATATACTTCTCAATGTTGCCGTGCTTTGGCATAAGGATAAGATAATTTTATCTCTTCACAGTGGGTATAATCGGAAGATACATTTTTGTCCCCAGCCCATGCAGGCCGTGCTGGGGCCTCCTAACCAATTTCTAAGAGGGATAGGGAGGATAAAGAGCAGTGTAGTTTTACACTTACGTATATTTCAAAAATACTTCATAAATCTTAATCTATATTATGAACTATTTAAGTAGAACTTAGGTTAGAAGTCAGAGCTTAAAAGCATAGGTAAACATATTTTCGAATATTGCAATTGATGGAACGATATATGAGTAGAACACATAATTACCCATGTGACAGATCGCCGCTCGCGATCCTTACGTTCCGCCAACCGAGCTAACTTTTTGACCCTTGGAGGCGGTACAGGCGCTGTACCTGCGTCTA